TTGGCGTTTACTAGAGCTCTGCAAATTGTTGTATCTCTTCTTCTACAAACCTCACCAAACCGAGACGCAGTCAACCTCATTCTTCGATGAAGACGCCACAAATTGCAATCCTGAGATTTTGTGGCTTGCTCGATTTGGGAAATTTCGGAGTCGGTTTTTGCAAGTTTTTTCAAGAATTCTACCTTGGCAGCCTCTATGTCTTCGTTGCTCATGTCAGGCTTCTCACAGAATTCCCCATAGGATGCGTTCTCTTTAGTATCACTATCTCTGATTTTAATTTTCCTTGGTTTCAGCTTCCTTTTCAGATTTTTGTGCGCTCTCCTTTCTTCAACTTGAACAATCAAAGAGGTTCGACTGAAACTAGGGAGTAGCCGCTTTTGGATCACAGAAAAAGGCCGCTGTGTATTGTGGCTCACTACGGCTGCAGCACATCTTCCTTGGTAGGATCTCTTCTTGCAATAATTAATCCGTTTACGCCCAATGAATTTAGCTATGATTGAGTTAAACTGCTCTACAATATTATTATCGACGTCATGAAGTAAACTTACTGCATTTTTAATCAGAATTGCCAGAAATGATATCAGCCTCTGGTGCAAATCTAAAAAAAAAAAGGGTATACACACCTGAATTTGAAGATCCATGCCATCTGTCTGTGTTAAAGAATCCATATGCGAAACCTTGCTGTCATTTTTAAGCTAAAATAACATATAAAATATAGTTATAATATTAACTACATATAGTCTAATTTATTGGCAAATTGAATGCTAAAATTCATAATTGTTTTGGTACCTACCTTTCTATCTGGAAAACGTTTTTTTCCTGTGCGTATTTAAATGCGGCTTCTTCGAGACGCCACGTTTATTTCTCTTATTGTTCATTTTTGATACCTTGGTAAGAAAGACACTCAACAATAACAACACAACAATAACAACACGATAATACAACAATTCAATAACGGTAATAAGAGTAATAAGGGCTGGGTATACTATGCGCCAAAATAGGGAAACAGTCGTACGCTAGATCGTATATCCAAATCAAATCCGACTCTGTGCAATATGCAAATTCAACCAGGCACGCGAACAACACACCTCTGCGTATTAGTATCCTTTTCTAACGTAGAGCGCTTGCCTTGTCACAACGCCGTCCTACTAGCGTTTCCCTATCACCCCCCCGATTCCCCTCAGAAACTCTGCTTGACTGTGAGAGCGCCGTTAAGTGCGCGCTGGATCCGCCACAATTTTTAGCGATGGTCTTGTGATGACTCAATAGCTTCGATTCATTTTTCTTCTTTCCTCTGAAGTATGGCGTGACATGCGCCAGCTAGTCCTTGGATATTGAATTTTCGGTGTAAGCGACAGTTTCTCTGCTCTACCTTAGCGCGAATCCTTGGCAACAAAAGTTTACCGTATGCTGCTAATTCTAAAAGCTGCCATTTGGTATAACGCCTGGATGAGAGTGGCTTTGATTTTTGCAATTGCTCCATCACATTCTATGGGACTGCATATTGACGGTGAGCTGCCATGTTCTCCTAACTGAAATGTAGGGATTTTACAGAACAATAAAAAACGATGTACAATCTAAAATGAAGATACTTCACTATTTTTACTAGAATATTTACCAAGTACTTTCGATTTGATGATAGGATAATATCAAATATAAGTTTTTGCAAACAGGATATTTTGCATGAATTTTCATATCTAGATAGGAGGTATTCAAAGAGAAACAATAGTCATTCATCTCAAACTTTAATGATATAATAATTAACACAGACAAGTAAACAAACTTTTCTTTCATCATAACAGTTGACATCTGGTTCATGACACTCATTTTTTTGGATATCTCACTTTTGAGGTATTTTCCTACAGCCACTGTGATTACTGGATAGCTGGAGAATGTTCACTTTCACGGCAAACTTGGAACAACAATCTTTCTGAATATTCAGAAATCGGAATGTCATCACCTGGACTGCTCAAGCAGTTTTCTAAATCTAGAGGTAGTACACTTCCATCTATTAAGTCAGTCACCCTGTATAAGGGATAATTGACAATACATCATAATTTTGCTCGTGAAAGTTTTCAAGTTTTTCAACAGCAAATATCCGATTCAAAAACATGGAGATAGACTCTGGAGGTCAAAGTAATGATCCCCCAGCGTCCCTGATGAACAAAAAAGGAACTGACTGAGACAGTTAGGGACGAAAACAGTAAAATAGATTGCCTGACCACCCAGGTAACACATTTAATCAATAATCCAAATTTTAATTCTAAATCTGACAAGGCTGTCAATTTAAAAAGACCTCTTGAAAATTTGACTGTTAACGTGACATCGACCGACGATGAAATACAGAATGATGGATTTATCTAGGAAAAGACGCAGCGACAAAACGAACAAAACGGACAAGACGGATGACTTCCCATCTCTTCCAAAAGCAAAATCTAAATTCAAGTTGACAGTCCCCTCAAAACCATCTCCCACAAGAGGAGCGAAGGTGTGCGAACTGTGGAGGGGCGCATCCCGCGTAACAGTCCCACTTGCAGATTCACACCCAGGCGAAATCTGGAAGTCATAGCGCAAAGACGCAGCAAGTCATACGGGGAAGCAGCCGTCCTAATATCTTCGGCTTACCCCTCTGTTCAATCCTCTTTGAACACGCAGAATGTGGACCTAGCAACTGCGCTTAGGTCCCCTGATTAGCGCCACTCAGGCATTGCTGGCGATTTTTCCGCAGCCATTGAATGGCTAAGTACAATACACAACCTGCATTTATCAAAATTGTTTTTTGGAATTGTCTGGGCCTAAGGGATATTCCCAAAAAACGGGAATTTCATTCAACTCTATTGGATGAGAGTATAGAAGTAGCTCTGCTTATACGCGCTGACAGATTGAATTTTAGGGGTGGTGGCTTGGCTGTGCTCGTTAAACGTGGTATTGACTATCACAGAACCACAAACGCCGAGATGCAAAGCATTGAAGCGGCGTCCGTGGTGGTCAATATGGCGGGATGCATTCCGTTGAAGATCACCTCGGTGTATGTCAGGTGCGGTGCCAGGCTGCGAGAGGAGGACTTTGAAGTCCACCGATCTTGGCACTCAAGGCTTAACTCTACTTGAGTGGTTCGGATTTACAACCATGTGATGCGAAACAGGTACCTTATTCACAGCACCGAAGAGCCGACAGACCTTCCTTTCAATCACCTTCAGGCACCGGATGTTATAGACTTTGCAATATCTAAAAACTCTAGGTTCACTATTGCTTCTAGGATCTTGTATGACATCTCTAGTGACCATCTACCTGTTGTTCTGGAGGTAGATAATGGGCAATTCGTGGAGGAGGAAACTCATCCAAGGAAAAGAGTTGATTGGGAACTATACAAGTTATTTCTCAAAGAGTTTCCCAGTCTCCCGGTCATACATGATGAGAACGGAATAGATGCTGCTCAATCGGAGTGGACAAGTTTCGTTCACCAAACTCTACTGGCTCGTTTACACAGTGCGAGCTAGCGTACGAGTCATCCTGCCGAGTAGCTGCAGTGCAGTAATTCGCATAAATACGGACGTACCTACGAGTAACTCGTACGTGCGAGTTGGACAGTAGCTCGCATCCGAGTTACTTCAACAATTTTTGTTTTCACTCGCCTACTGGCCCGACAGCAACGCGCATATGGCAACAGCTCGGACGTCATTCGCATCGTTCGGACATGTTAGGCAGTAGCTCGCCAGTGTCAGCCAGCAATTACGAAGCAGAAGCTGTATTTTATGTGTGCTGCGCCAAAAAGCGTTTACCCAATTCGAAATGGGCTCAGAAAGGTGGTCTTCTGAGAATAATATTACATTCATGAATCTCTACAGAGAACAAGAAAACCTATGGAATTGTTTTGATAAAAATTATAAAAATAGAGATATGAGAAAAGCATCTTTGGAATACATTGCAAACGAAATGAGTCTAGTTAACACCAGTGAGGTAACTAAAAAAATAAAAAATTTACGATCTACCTATAACCAAGAACGCGCGAAAATTGAAAAAAGTAAAAAGAGTGGATCTGGGTCGGAAGATGTTTACAAGTCATCCTTAAAATGGTTCGATATAATGGATTATATAATGAAAACAATTAATTTGAAAGAAAAGAAAACAACAAGCAATCTGGTGAGTACCTGATATTTTATTCCACTGAGATAGTTCATCACATTTAATTATTACTAATCATATAATTTTGCCAGGTGACAGCACCCTCATTACAAAAAAAAAATTGTATTTTTCTCTCAATTTTTCAGCTGCGAACTTTGATCTGTTATTGATCCGCGAACGGGCGATACTTGGTAACGCATTTATTTCTGATCTCCACGTTCCTAGGTTCGTAGTGAAATTTACAATATCTTCATAATCCATGCTACCAGGTGGTGTGTAGGTGTGAAGTGAAGATTTGCGCAACCAGTTGTGCAGTACACATGTAGTTCGAATCATTTTTATTGCGGTTTCCTCTTGCAACTGGATAGGTTTTGCCAAAACACGGAATCGAGATACTAAAATACCAAATGCATTTTCTACTATGCGTCTTGCCCTAGTGAATCTGTAATTGTAAATTTTTTCGGCAATCGTGGGCTCATTGGGATATCGTTTTCAATAAGTACGTCTTAAGAAGGAAAGCATCATCTCCCACTAGGAATCCACCTTTTGGCAGTAATGACCCATTTTCCAACACTGGATACAATGAGAAAGCTTGGAAAACATCACCGTCGGAATTTCGCCCATATGAGCCTATGGCCACATATTTAAAACAGTAGTCATGATCCACGACTGCTAAGAGCACCAAGCTGTTTGTTCCTTTATAATTATAGTATTCACTACCACAATTGGGAGGAGCTTGAATTACCACATGTTTGCCGTCGATGGCTCCACAACATCCTGGAAAATTCCACCTGTGGTGAAATCCTACTTGTATGTCTTCCCATTCCCTTTTGTCTGGTACCTGAAAAAATATTAATTTAGTATTTTCATTTCAGCCTAACGATACACCGTCGGGGTCCAAAATTTTGGAAGATGATGTTAGTCGGGACATTGATGATAAAACTGATAATAAATCAATCGATTCCAGCGACAGCTCGTTGATCAAAAATAAAAATCCAGTTCAAGTTAAAAATAAAATAAAGCATAACATTACCCAAGAAACGAGTGGAATTGCAGCAGCTATTAATGAGCTTAAACAACTGAATAGTACTATACAAACTTCCAGTTGTTCTCAGCAATGTGATGAGTACGATGTTATTGGAAAACATGTCGCTATTCAACTGAGAGAGCTCCCATTACTCGATTTTATAGACGCCAAAGATGAAATCCAACAAGTACTTTCCCGATACCGAAAAAAAGCTGTATGTGCCCGAAACACATCTGCTTTTTCCTCATATAATACATCGTCGCCAACGTCCTACATATCGCTGGCATCACCAGGATCCAGTGTACCAAGTGATTCATTCCCAGGACCTGTCCCAATATCTGATCGGCCCGCAGAAACAGTTTCTCGGCAGCCAGTTCAAACAGTTGTTGGACAACCATCAAATGCATCATACGAGGGTATCCACTTTGGTGATCCACTAGTCAGAGCAATGATAGATGCTGATATGAACAATATGCAATAACTTTTATCCTCTGTGTTACTTTTGTTTAATTTTGTATGACTTGGTTTGTCTTTAATAAATGAATGAATGTATGTATGATCCACACATGTGTCATTGAATAAGTATTTCGAATCTGTGGCCCAACAAAAATACCTTCTTTAACCTTTGCCTCACTTAGTCTTAGAAATTTCTGACGCAGGTATTGAAAAGCTGACCCATCTCTATCTAATGCCTTGACAAAGTTTTTCATTAGGCCCAACTTGATATGCAGTGGTGGTAATAAATTTTTTTCGAATCTACTAATGGCATATGCTGTACATTTTTTGACCTGGCTGACGAACAGGCCAGTTTTGTCTGGTGTAATGAAGTGCCTTTGCCCGACTGACCCATTCACACAAAAAACAGCAAAACTTTGTGTAGCCTAGCTGCAGCCCAAGTAAAAGTGCAATAACTTTCAAATCGCCACAAATATGCCATTGGTGCTCATTGTATTTTATGCATGTCAATAGGTATTTCATATTGTCATATGATTCTTTCATGAACTGCATACTCTACAGGAAGAGATGGTATAATATTTCCAATATCCAATAACACTGCCTTTAAACTCAATGTTGAACTGTCTATAAACAATCTCCATTCTTCTGGGTTATAGTTTATATTTAAAGCCGCCAGTAGGCCGTTAATGTTACTGCAGAAAACCAAGTTATTCTCCATATTGAAAAGTGGTTTTAAGTCTTTGTGGCGTTTACGAAAAACACATACCGAAACATCGTCTTCTAACAAGTTCCACTGCTGCAGTCTTGATCCAAGTAACTCTGCCTTACATTTTGGAAGTTCTAAATCTCTTACAAGATCATTTAATTCTGACTGTGTTATTTTCTGCGGTTGGTGGCATGACGTGCTCGGTATAAAATCAGGATCTCTTGACGTTGATGGCATATCTTCTTCCTGACGAATCACTCGATCACCATGATCTGATTCGTTTCCTGATTCGCAAGTGTAGGATTCTGAGGGTTTTGGAATGTGCCTGAAACACATCTGCTTTTTCCTCATATAATACATCGTCGCCAACGTCCTACATATCGCTGACATCACCAGGATCCAGTGTACCAAGTGATTCATTCCCAGGACCTGTCCCAATATCTGATCGGCCCGCAGAAACAGTTTCTCGGCAGCCAGTTCAAACAGTTGTTGGACAACCATCAAATGCATCATACGAGGGTATCCACTTTGGTGATCCACTAGTCAGAGCAATGATAGATGCTGATATGAACAATATGCAATAACTTTTATCCTCTGTGTTACTTTTGTTTAATTTTGTATGACTTGGTTTGTCTTTAATAAATAAATGAATGTATGTATGATCCACACATGTGTCATTGAATAAGTTAACTGAACCTTTGAAGTATCAACTCATGAAGCATTTACCACATTTCTACTTACCTGCAAATATTCGTCCAAAGCTTCATACATAACGTCACAAACTTCTGGTATAAATTTTGATATGGAGGATTTTGAAATCCTGAAAAATATTGCTAACAGCCTGTATGATATTCCTGAGCTTAGAAAACACAGGGTTACTTCTAACTTTACCCTTGCTGGTATGGCATCTCTCATAAAAGTGTCTTGACGCTCTATTTTGATTTTTATCAAATTTAAAAGTTTGTCAACTTGTTCGGGTGTCACTCTCAGCACTGCTTTATATTCTCGGGGGTCTTCATGATAAAGCTCCTTGGAAATCGCACATGTTGCCCCTATAGATCGCCTTGCCATCCAATCTCTAATCCAAACCTTTTTCTTCCTCTCCTTTTTTTGAAGTTTTTTGTAGGATTTTTCCAATTCTTCACATAATATTATTGTCATAGACCTTATCACCGTTTTTTAATCACAGCAAGTTGACTCAACATCGCGACAACTCGGAAGATACTGGGCAGCTACTATCATAGTGGAAACAACTAAGGCGAGTAGAGCTACTGGCATACGAGTAGACCATCCGAGGAGCTGTCTACTGCCTAGTCAGCAGCTCGCACTGTGTAAACGAGCGATACATCGTGCTGCTGTGCTTCCAGTACAGCGACACGGCAAACCTTTTCTCCCTGCTGACATCCGTCGGAAAATTTCTGTAAAGTGGCACTGCGATTAAGCAAGCAAAAAGGTCTTGTTATCCTGATGACATTGGTAGAGCGACGAATCTCGTCCATGAAGTGAGAAATGCACTCCATGAATTCCGCAATGAGCAGTGGAACAACTTTCTGGCTGGTATGCTTGAATCAAGTATTCCTCTCTGAAAAGTGGCAAAATCGTTCAGAAACGGAAGGCAACTACCACATATTCATGGTCCTGGAGGCGTAGTTTTCAGGACTGAGGATAAAGTGGAGGATTTGCTGACGTCATGGGAAGGCAGTTCTCTCCCAATTATGATCTGGACAATGACCTTGACGAGGAACTACAAATTGTAAGATCTGTCAGGAGATATTTCAGAGCGAATGGCGACAACAACATCAGTGCTAACATCGGTGACTCCTTTTCAGAAGATTCTTCTACGGAAGACTCTTCAGATGAATCTCTGCCTAGCACAACAACGGAATTCTCTGAGATTCCGTTTTGCACACCAGCAGAGCTCCAAGGTCACATTAAGGACTCAAAGGTGCGTAAAGCACCTGGAGAGGATCAAATCACTAACAAAGCACTGAAGTTGCTTTCGCTCAAGGCTTTGACTTATCTGGTGGCAATAATCAATGCAATACTCAGAACTCATTACTTTCCTAAGGCGTGGAAGATCACTGAAGTCTTCATGATCCGAAAGAAGGCAGGTTCGATATTCCCCCAGGCTTACCGTCCCATTAGACTGCTGTCAGCTCCTTCTAAGCTCGCTGAAAAGGTGATTTATTGTCACTTTGAGAATTTTTCGTGAGATCACCGTATGATCATCTTTTGAATAAAGTCATTATTATTATTATTATTATTATTATTCCTGACGCACAATTCGGTCTGAGCACACGGGCTTCACCCTGAACAAAAGTACTGGTCTCTTGCTTTTAGATGTATCAAAGGCATTTGACAAGGTTTTGGCACATGGGCCTCTTGTATTAGCTCATCCAAAAGGGTTTTCCATTTTGGCTATTAAAACTGTTGAAATCTTTTCTAAAAGGAAGGAAGTTTCGGATCAAAATTAACAATGTGTTGTCAACAACACGGCCCGTAAGAGCCGGTGTTCTTCAGGGTTCGGTCTTAGGGCCAATCCTTTATTCACTTTATGTAGGTGTATGTCGGCGTCAATCGCTGAAATCCGTCATTCCCTGAAATGCCTAGTCAGTCCCCGTATTGTCGGCAAATACTTAACATTGATTTATACAACGTTTGTACTAAGCATTTCAGTAATTCCCTGTAATGACTGAACAATGTCAATCAAACACCGTAACAACCACATTAGCTTCGTTACTGCATTCGCCTATTTTAGTCAAACGCTGTAATCAACACAGTGTTGCTCCAATGCAGTACGTAATATAACAAGGTACTACATAATACATTATCATTAATATTAAAAGCATAATAATCAAGCATGCGTTAATGTAAAAGAAAAGAAGAATAGAATAAACCGTTGTCTTTATTATTACATTATTGTGGACATTAATCATTAGTGTATTAAATCAAATTAAGAAATATCCTGAAACTATCGAAAGAAATATAAAACAATACACATTAAAAGAACAAACAAAATGCAGGTCTGCGAGTAGTGACAAGCGAATAAAAGTTACATAGAATTATCTTATATTTTATATTATTTGAAACATTTTTTTTTTTATTTTTTTTCTAGAGTTATACATATTCACAATACCGCAGCAATACTGATGGCGACACGAGGATGTGTATTGTTGATATAAATAACTCCAGCGTGGACGAATTATATTTTTTTAATCTAGTATTTATATACGAAATCCGGCAACAATGGATGCTGCTGTTGAGCAAGCCTATGTACGTTATAATTTAAGTTAGGTTCAAAAAATTATAAAAATTGTCATAGTATTCACTTAGTTTCTTGTAAAAGAACAAACAAAATGCAGGTCTGCAAGTAGTGACAAGCGAATAAAAGTTACATAGAATTATCTTATATTTTATATTATTTCAAACATTATTTTTTTATTTAATTTTTTTCTAGAGTTATACATATTCACAATACCGCAGCAATACTGATGGCGACACGAGGATGTATATTGTTGATATAAATAACTCCAGCGTGGACGAATTATATTTTTAGTAGTGACAAGCGAATAAAAGTTACATAGAATTATCTTATATTTTATATTATTTGAAACATTATTTTTTTATTTAATTTTTTTCTAGAGTTATACATATTCACAATACCGCAGCAATACTGATGGCGACACGAGGATGTGTATTGTTGATATAAATAACTCCAGCGTGGACGAATTATAGTTTTTTAATCTAGTATTTATATACGAAATCCGGCAACAATGGATGCTGCTGTTGAGCAAGCCTATGTACGTTATAATTTAAGTTAGGTTCAAAAAATTATAAAAATTGTCATAGTATTCACTTAGTTTCTTGTAAAACAATTATGAATGCTGCGACATCTTTACAAACACAGAAAAGACGATGTGTATACTCAAGCAAATGAACACAAAACTGGTACAATGAATGACGGAATCAGGTAAATGCAGTAACGAAGTTAATGTGGTTGTTACGGTGTCCGACTAAAATTGTTCAGTCATTACAGGGAATGACTGAAATGGTTGGTCAAACGTTGTAATAATCAAACTGTTACGGTGTTTGCCACTGACTAGACATTTCAGGGAATGACGAATTTCAGCATTGACGCCGACATATACATGACGTCCCTTGCCCCAGCAACTGTGAAGTTTATCTCTATGCTGACGACACTGCACTGCTAGCCCAGTCTTGTTCTGGGAACCTGGTTCAGGAGTGCGGTGTAGGAAGTATTGGAGTGGGCGGATCGGTGGTTCAATCAAACTTCGAAAACGCAGGCAATCTAATGTACTAAAAAACGTCGCGGTGCCTTATCAGAGATATCAGTGATTGGAACTCGTATACCATGAGAGCAATCTGTCAGGTACCTTGGAGTCATCATTGACAAGGGGTTGACCTGGCAGAACCATACTGATATTTTGAAAAGAAAATTCCAAATTACCTTTTGGCTGCTTTATCCTTTGTTGTGCAGACATTCAAAATTAAGTTTGATCAACAAGATTCGGTTGTATAAAATGATCATAAGACCCGCAATCACCTACGCATGCGCGGCTTGGTGTTTTCTTGCCAAAACGCACAAGCAAAGACTGCAAGTCCTGCAAAACAGAACCCTACGCACAATCACTAACGCCTCTTGGTACGTGTCAAATGAGACCATTCACAGAGAACTTGATATCCCATATCTAAGGGACTATGTATGGTAAAACAACAGGCACAGCGGCTTTATAATCAAGCCGAACGGCACAGCAACCCTCTGTTACATGATTCAGTAGACTACACAGTCGAGCAAGTTCGCAAACATTCCAGACCGCTCCTCGCACTGTGATCAAAATTAAATCGTGAATTCAGGTACCAGCCAAAATTATTTCAGTATACAAAATCGATCAAAATTATTTTTTAGAGTTACAAAATTATTCGAGTAGTCAAAGCAATAATGCTTAAGCTACGTCAAATGATTTACTTCTTTTCTTTGCTCTATTTCTTCCTTCCTTTCTTTCCTTCTTTCCCTTTTCCCCTTAAACATGTTTGGTATCTGGGTAGCCAGACCTGACAGACTAACTGACCGACGAGACTTTTAACTAAGAGCAAAGGTCCACCGGTCCGCTGTGACGAACAATGACGAATAGTACGACATTAGAATCAGAATATTTTCGATGTCAAACAGGTGTTCGTTTGGATCTCGATCAGCTTTATTGAAATTTGTATCCATATTTTCAAGAGCAACTTCAGAATTTCTATTTTCATGTTGCTGATTGACCAAGGTCAATATTTTTCTTTCTCGGGAAGTCATGGCAATACCTCGTATTAGCGTCCTTTACGTATGCTTGCCAAATTTTCGCGCCGAGTAAAATCTCCCACTAGAACAATAAAAATATAACGTCACTCAACCATATAATAAAGGGGTAATGTTATAGCTAAAGACTGTGTTCAAGAGACATGCCCAGCATAGCTGGCGATAGGAAGTCAAATCTCATTTTGCAAAAAAAATCAGATAGCAGGCATTGCCAGCTCACTGTCTATATACTTGAGGTACATCCATACAGATGATCTGTGAGCGTAGTGACTTCTGTCTTGAAATTTGAATTGTCTCTCAACTGGTGTGTATCTTTGTGATATTGATTTGGATTTCAAGCAGTCACGGTAAGTGACCGGATCCGATTGTAAGTGGCATGGAATTCCATCCTTTTATATGACGTGATTTTATTATAGCAGCATCCAGTGAGCACTAAGTACGTGCACCCCTTTGGTCACGTACTTGTTAGTGTTTTCTGGACTCTTGATTGATTTTGCTGTCTCCCTTCGCTGTTGTTGCGGATGAAATCTTGACGAGGTTTTTCGTACTTCTCCATCTCCTGTTTGAATAGTTTGCAAACTGCATTTTCCGTCGTGTGTCCCGTTTGCTTACAGTTTGAGCATACTTGAACAATCTGAACCATCCAGCACAACTTTCTTGTTTAGATAATGTTTAATTTTAATAATACATGTCCATTGTTAATTATTTTTGAAAATAAATAAGACTGTTACTTTACTTCTGTAGATTATTGCCACTTCTGGTCGGATCGCCTTCAGGTTTGTGAGAGTCATTGTTTGCTGGTTGTATGTATCGTTTCTTCGTAAAACGATTCATTTTTAGGGTGGCAGAGCAGTGCTTAACCATCTTTAGATTCAACAAGATCCATATCTATTCAAGTGATTGGCGGCGCCATTGGCTCCTTGTCTGATCCTTTATTACTTTTATTATGGAATGTTGAGGGAGTATTACCGACCAAAATATCCATCTCCTGTTTTTTGGATTTAGAGTTTGTTCCCAATAATGCTCAATACATGAAATAGATCCAACGATTCATAACTGTTGGTTGTAATGTTTTAGTAGTTTTGTCTTCAGCTGAATCTGGTGCAATTCGAAGAAGCTTTTTTTATTGCGTGTTTTTTATTAGGATGAATAAAATCATCATCTACTAGTGCTTGATCGTCCATGTCAGATTGTGTTTCTATACTCGCATTTAGTGCTGAATTTTTGTTTCTAAGGCCATCCTGTCCCTGTGAAGGATATCCAGCACTATTGAACAGATTTTCCACGAATACGCTAACACTATGCTGTTTTTGAACCTTCACATACAATTTCCATTAATAATTTCACAATATTGCCAAGATCGACACCGGCAGAATACAGAGTATGTTTTTTGCAGATACGTGTCGCCTCAAAACCCTGCACCGAATTGGGGTCGATGCTATGCTCTAATGTTGCAAAGTTTGCCAGGTCACCACCTCATTTTAGATCCAGTAGAAATGAGAGCTGCAAATCAGGGTTGGCCAGCTTTGCAAATTCAACTTTTGCAGGTAATTAATATTTTATAGTCATGTATCTATTCTATATATATGTTATATATATATATATATATATATATATATATATATATATATATAAAGGAAAGGATCATGCCGAGGAAAGTATATAAAAAATAGAAAAAAATAATGGTCAAAATCCGCATAAGGAAGGCAAGTTTGCTTTATCAGACCCCAACCCTCATATGCAACTACAAAAGTAGACACACATGCCCACACATCCGGATAGGCTTGTAATCTAAAGAAACGAAGATGAGATGGAACAATACGACGCACGAAGTCACCAAGAGCTAACCTACACATTGTAGTACGCTATAATGGCCCGAAGACGTCTAGTGTTCAAGACAACATCAAACGACAACCACGCGGCATGATCAAGTGTATTCTTGCCAATGAAGCTGACCATGACCTTCCAGGTTATTTTTAGGTCAGGTAAATTTTCAAGTAAACCCCATAGTTTTTGTAGAGGATATAAAAAAGAGAAACATTGGAATTAATTTATTTTTGCATTAAAATGTTAAACTTTGAATATTGCATTTTATTTCTCCAAAACCAATCTCCTCCACACTAATGCGAAACGATTATTATCCTATACTTTACGTCCACGCGAGCGGAGCCGCGAATTGGCCTAGTAGTGTACATGATTACATAATTATAACCATTGATTAACGTATTTAACCATGTAGAATATATTAATGAATGATCGAAACTAAATCAGGTTGACTGACTTTTTTTTATTATTTAAGGAGTTAGTCTTAGCAGCCAGGAGAACAGGTCATTCAGCTTTAGCTACGAGACATATGACCTTTCTATTGCAGACTATGTGGACGCATTTGAGGTAAGATTTGTAAATTCATGTTCTTGACAATGTTTTGTAACATCTTTTTTTATTTTCTAATTGTACTAGAAAGTGTTTGAAATTCGGCCCTCACCATTGGGATCTCGGAAACTGTAAGAGATACGCTTAAAGGGGGGCGAACTTGCGTATTTAGATAATTAAGAAAATACCGCTCAAAAAGACTTCCGGAGAGAGACTGAAAAAGCCGCTTTTTCCCAAAATCGTTTTAATGTTTCTTGACTTTATTTGTAGGACTTCAAAATAAATTGAGCATCAACATTGCTACTTATTCTCTCCTACAAGATAGCATAATTAGAGTTTCAATACGACGCTTCGTCTCTTGTCATCCAGCCTAAACTTTATATCTTTATTATAGACGCCACATTATTTTTTTGTACAGTCTGCTGTACTCCGGAACAGTGACATTACTACTTGTTTGGATCTATATGTCTCTATACAATTCAAAATTTTATTTCCGTGATATACCTTTTTTGTGTGGAAGTTTCTCTTATTACCCAAGTAGGGTGAAGCGTGTCTTCCTTATCCCATCCTACGCGTTTCTGTATTTGTGTACGGATCATTTATTGCAACGGCACCAACTTGTAATAAATGCAACAAGTCTGTAAGCTCAGAGAACTTATCCATATGATGCTTGGTGTGTTCAAAAAGTTACCATGCTTCCTGCGTCAATCAAACTGCGAATGAAATCAGTTTTCTCACTGAGGGTAATGAAAAATGGAACTGTTCACGTCAACTCATCTTCTTCTCGAGGCGACACTGCTTGAGACACTTCTGCAGCTACCGATCAGCTATCACTTATTTTGAACCAACTCGCCATTATAGCAAAATATATAAAGGATATCAAAGATCCGCAGTCACGCCTATTTACGGATGTTGCGCAGTGTACAACTTTGTTGCAACAACATTCAAATATTATATCTCGTCATGATGCATCATTCGTTGTTGATAACCAGCAGCTCCAAACATCTCAGCCAACTCTATCGTCTGTGTCGAAAATAGAATCTCCGAACTTGAACAGCGAACTCAATCTGAACTAGCAACACTATCCCATCCTGAGACATTTGAAGGGTTCATAAGGTCTCACAACATTATTTTTAAAAAATCTTGTGGATCCTGTAGTAAGTTCATTCAAATATTGAGCGTATCGAGACTTGGACCCTCTACATCTAACATCCAATCTCGACTAGTAAAAGCGTGTTTTTCTAATCCGCGATCTGCATTAAACATCCTGCGCAAAAAACGCTCGGTATTAAGTAACCCATCATATCGCAAACTTACGATGACTGATGACAAAACGCCAACTCAAATTTCGCACTTGAACTCGCTGCGCCAATGAGTTACATCGTAGAAAAGCGGCTGATGAGAAATATATCACTATAAAATACGTCGGCGAAGTGGATAAGGGATTTCCTTAGTAACAGAGAGTTCACGGTGAGGGTAGGCGATTCACTGTCAGCCAGGCGGTGACTAGCGGCGTTCCCCAGGGTTCCGTCTTGGGACCTTTGCTGTTTCTCCTCTACACATCGAACCTGCCTTGTGTCATATCTTGTACCTGCTCCTTGTATGCTGACGACACAAACAATATCCCCCGTGCCAGTCATAACATCCTTCAACGCGACCTCGACAACCCTTATGAATGGTCCAGAAGATGGCTGCTGCCCCTGAACTTGAACACAGAGACCTGTTAGAAAATATACAAAGGAGAGCTACACGCATCCTGTATGATATTCAACGACGCTGTTCATAGGAGAGGCTGAACTTATTCAATTTAACTGACCTCTCCGAACTACACCTCGCCACTGTTTCCTATCTAACCGAGTATTTGATACCTGGAACATGTTGCCCTACGACGTTGTTAATGCGCAGTTAACAGGTTCAAGAATCGTTTCGACAGATGAGTGCACGGTGAACTCTAGTTGTCTTATGACCTTATCTTTATTATTTTTAATATTCAATTTCTTATCTTCGTTCAACTCCTCCATTATGTATAATAATAATAAATAAACAGTCTGTTGTCTGTTATTTTGCAGGCAAAGCTTGACCCTTCTCTGTATATTGCTCACTGCTCGATCTATTTCCCTTCTTCTCAGTCTTCCAAATTCTGTTACTATGTTTAGTTTGAAGTGTGGTCTGGTATAGGAAACAAATTACTATCTAATAATTTCAAGGCCTAATTGTGTACTTGTTTTTCTGGAATAACTAAGGTTTGGGAATATCATTTTCAAAATCAGAATTAAAACACTATTAATTTGCGCAAAAATCCAGTTGATGCAAGAGACGAAACGTCATATTGAAATTCAAATATTCAATTTTTTATAGGAGAAAAAGTGGCAATGTTAATATGCAATTTATTTTAAAATCCCACTACAAATAGAGTCAGGAAACATTTAAAACGATTTTGTGAAAATTCGTGTTTCGGAGGTACTTTGGATTTCGAAACTTTCTTAGCGGTTTTTGTTAGTTACCTAAATATGGAACTTTGTCCCCATTTAAGCGGCTTCGTATCTTTTACCGTTTCCGAGATTGCAATGGTGAGGGTGAAACACCCGGTATAAATATATATATATATATAGTCAAAATTTCACCACTATGACATCTGGATTTTCATAAAATACTACCTTGTGCGTGTCAACAGCTCAGGTGTCCAGTCCCAGGACTGCCCAGTGCTACCACATCAAATAATTGTACAACAAAAAGCCGTGAGGTTAAAATCGCGGTAAATCCACAAAATAAACGTTAGACTGGTTAACTACCATTTCGACGCTTTTAATTGAAAAATAAATGTTATCGGGTTAGGAAAATAACTTCTGTTTGACTCGGAGAGCACTTGCGAACAGTGGAATGGAATGGAATGTATAACTTTATTGAATGAAAAATATATAAAAATATATTTCGTAGGCTGCAAGCGGATGATAAATATCATCGCCATGAATAAATGGTCAAACAAAAGTAAATTTCAACAAAAAATGCTTTCACTGCCAGTAAATACATAATTATTTATTTTGAGTAAGGTGAGGTACGAAAATTTGGAATCAAAGAAAGTCAAGTCACCGTTGGTTGTCAGAGCGGTCTGTGGGACCTTAGCTCTTGAGTCACAATGTCAGTTTGTATGTCTGTCAGGTCTGGTAACCCAGACACCAGACAATTTTAAGGAAAAAAGGGGAGGAAAGGAGAGAAGGAAGAACGAGAGCAAAGGGGAAGAAGAGAATCTTTTAGAATAGGCAGCGTTTAGGCATTGTTAAAATCACTTCACAGATTTTGATATGGTCTAAAAATATTCGATTTTTTCTAAAGATTTTGTCAAAATGCTCCAATTTTGGTTGTTCTAAGTTCACGAGTTAATTTTGATTACAGTGCGAGCTGCGGCCTTTTGTGCTTGCGAATTTGCTCGACTGTGTAGTCCACTGACTCACGCAACAGAGAGTTGCTGTGCGATTCCGCTAGGATATAGCGCCGCTGCGCCTGTTGCTTAATGTAGTCCTTTAGGTAAGGGACATCGAGGTCTCTATGTAGAGTTTCATTAGAGACATACCATGGGGCATCAGCAATAGCACGCAACGTCCTGCTTTGCAGAACCTGCAGATTTCGCATGTGTGTTTCAGCAATAAAACACCAAGCCGCACATGCGTATGTCATTGCTGGTCTTATGGCCACCTTATAGAGTCGAATCTTGTTAATCAAACTTAACTTTGAACGTTTACATAATAATGCGTAAAACTGTCGAAACTTAATTTGGAATTTAGTTTTTACCGCTTCTATATGGTTCCGCCAAGTCATCCCTTTGTCCAGAAGACACCGAGATACTTAGCGGAGGATTCCCATGGTATACGAAGTCCATTCATTGAAACTTCAGACGGAACGCCGCGACGTCTTTTTGTACAGTAGATTGCCTGCGTTTTCGAATGGTTTATTTTAATTTGCCACCGATCCGCCCAATCTAATACTTCCTCCACCGCACTTTGCAGCCTGTCATGGACTAGGTCACCAGACCACGACTGAGCCACCAATACAGTATCGTCAGCATAGAGATAGACTTCACAGTTGCTGGGACTAGGGACGTCATGGATGTACAGTGAGTAAAGGATAGGTCCAAGGACCGAACCCTGAGGGACGCCGGCTGTAATCAGCCGTGTTGTCGACAGGACATTGTCAATTTTGATCCGAAATTTCCTACCTTCAAGGAAGGATTTCAGTAGTTTTAGAAGCCAAAAAGGGTAGCCCTTTTGGATTAGTTTATAAAAGAGGCCCGCGTGCCACACCTTGTCAAATGCTTTTGAGACATCCAAAAGCAAGATGCCAGTACTTTCGTTAAGGGTGAATCCTCTGGTTACACGTTCCACCAGCCTAACCGCCTGTAGCTCCGTACTATGTTCAGACCGAAAACCGAATTGCACGTCAGGAATCACATGGTGATCTGACGAGAAATTCTCAAGGTGACGATAAAACACCTTTTCAGCGAGCTTAGACGGAGCTGACAGCAGGCTAATGGGACGATAATCCTGGTGAAATATCGAACCCACCTTCTTTGGAATCATTATAACTTTAGCGGTCTTCCACGCGGATGGGAAGTACTGGATCCTTAGCATGGCATTGACTATTGCCACGAGATAAGTTAAGGACTTCCGCGAAAGCAGCTTCAGTGCCTTATTAGTGATTTGATCCTCCCCAGATGCTTTACGCACTTTAAGGTCTTTTATATGACCTTGAATCTCTGCTGGTGTGCAATGCGGGATCTCGGGAGATGCCGCTGATGTGCTAAGCAGGTCTTCGGTTGAATAAGCTTCTGAAGAAGAATCTTCTGATGAAGAAAAATCACCAACGATAGCGCGACTGTCACTGACGCCGTTGGCCCTAAAATATCTCCTGACAGATCTTACGATGTGTTGCTCCTCGTCGAGGTCATTATCAAGATCATAGTTGGGAGAGAACTGTCTTTCCATGGCATCGGCGAAAACCTCCAGGACCGTGAATATGTGGGATTTGTTCACGGTTTCCGTTTTTGAGTGACTTCGCCACCTTCCAGAGAGGAATGCTTGAGTCAAGCATCCCCGCCAGAAAGTCGTTCTATTGCTCATTGCGGAATTCATGAAGAGCATTTCTTACTTCATGAACAAGATTCGTTGCTCTGCGAATGTCATCAGGATGACAAGACCTTTTCGCTTGCTTAATTGCAGCCCTTTTATCAGAAATTTTCTGACGAATGTCTGCTGACAGAAAAGGTATGCCGTGTCGCTGCACGGGAAGTACAGCTGCACGCTGCAGAGCTTGCTGAACAAAAACTTGTCCACTCTGCTTGAGCCGCATCTATACCGATCTCATCATCTATGATCGGAATATTGGGGAACTCTCTGAGGAGCGACTTGTATAGCTCCCAATCAATTCGTTTCCTTGGAGAGTTTCTTCCCCCCAGATCTGCTCATTACCCACTTCCAAAATGACGGGAAGATGATCGCTTGAGATGTCATACATGATTCGAGAAGTGATACTGTATCTACAGTTTTTGGATAATGCAAAATCAAGAACATCAGGTGCCTGAAGGTGATTAAATAGGTGGTGCGTCGGCTCCTCAGTACTAGGTATGAGGTAGCCATTTCGTATCACATGGGTATACAGTCGGATCCCACTGGTGGAATTCAACCTAGAATGCTATGCTCGATGTTTCCAGTTGAAGTCCCCTGCCACAATAAGTGGACCCGAGTAGTCTAAAAGGACTTCCAGATCCGCCTCTTGCAGCCTGATACCACACCTGACATACATCGATGTGATTTTTAACGGCACACCTCCCGTCATATTGACCACCACGGAAGCCGCTGAGATGCTTCTGTGGTAGTCAATACCTCGTTTCACTAGCACTGCGAAGCCGCCACCCCATCCAGTCAATCTATCAGCCCGGATAACATCGTAATTCGGGAAAGCTAGACGATCTGCCGGATTAAGTAATGTTTCCTGCAGCAAGGCCACATCTATACTTTCGTCCACAAGAGCTTGATGAAATTCCCGTTTTTTGGGAATGTCCCTTAGACCCAAACAATTCCAAACAAGAATTTTGATAAATTCAGGCTGTCGTCGATTGTACCTAGCCATTTGCAGGAAAGATCGCCTGCAAAGCCTGTGTTGCGCTAATCAGAGGACCTATGATCTGCTGTAAGGACCTTAGCGCGGTTGCCAGGTCCACATTTTGCGTGTTGGCAGAAGATCCCACAGAGGGGGCAGCCCGGGTTGCATCCCTAGCTGCATCCGCGTAACTTACATTGCGCCTTTGCGCTATCACTTGCAGATTTTTCTTAGGGGCAAATCTGCAAGTTCGGCTATTCGCTGGATGCCCCCCTCCACAGTTCGCGCACTTTCGTTCCTCTTATTCTGTTTGACGGCATAAGTGGTTCATGTGGTCAGAAGCACATTTTAGACACTTAGGTGGTGCAGAGCAGTAAGATTGCGCATGCCCATATTTTTGGCAGCGGTGACACTGTCCGATGAGTCTTGAGTTCTTTTGAACTTCGACTCGGATAGCCAAACCTAGCAGCTCATGTTCGTTGAACAGCTGCTGAGATTTTTCTATCTTGGGCAGTATGACTACCACCAAAGGCATGGGCACGCCGCCACCGCTTTTCAGGCGAATTATGTGCAAGGGGGAATATTCCCTCTGTTGCAACTCTTCCTTGATCTCCATTTCCGAAAGTGTCGCAGGTACTCCTCTGATTACAGCATGAATGTTCCTCTCCGAGGGTAGAGGGAAAGTGTGATGGGGCACCTCTTCCTCCCTGAAGCGACGAATAATTCTGCGGTAATCATCCGCGGACTTGGGAATTATCCTGATTCCTGCATCGACGGCACCCGCGCGTTCGAATTTGATGCCCAAAGAAATAAACTTGTGATTTACGCCTCGCCATCTCGAAGCATCGCGAAGAACGATGGGGGTAATACGTACCTAGCGTGGGGGCTGTGCAGACGTGTCTTCTGATACCTGAGATATCGAAGGTGAAGAAGTAACCGATAGATTAGGCACAAGCTGTTTATTCGAGTCGCTTGCAGTTGAACGAGACGTTTCAGACGCGATTTTGGTGGAGGGAGAGGAGGAAAGCCTGTCGTGTCGGTGTTGTTTCGTCGCGTTTTACGGGGCCTAACCTTGATAAAACCATCAGGGAGTGTATCGTCGTCAGTGGAAAGATCGCTTGAATTATTTAACGGTCTCTTAAGATTGACAGCTTTGTCTTTACTGGGATTTTGTTGGAGTGTTTGGGAAGAATGTGTAATATTTAGATGGGAAGGTGCCTGGGTTTTCAGTAGGAGGTCTAATTTAACTGTTAGGTCGGTAATTTTCCGCTGCTGGGCTTCGATGATTATCATCAATATTTCATAGGTATTCGTAACATCGTCCTTTTTTGACAGCTCCTGTCGAACCATCTCCAATTCGGCTCTAAACTCCTCTACGGTCTGCTCCTTCGACTCCATCTCCATTGCCGTGGTGGAAGTGCCATTTCCTGACTCCTCTGGGTCAGTTTCCATAGTAAATACCTCGGTTATCTCGCTTTTCGTCTCAAAAATAATCCGGATCGAAATTTCGGGACAGCTGCTATCAGTGCCCTATACAGGGCGTTTTTTATCAAAGAAAGGCAGTGCTACCTTAAGGTATTTTTCAACTCGGCCATAAAATAAAAGTGCAAATAAGAATTAGAATAGAGTTGTTCAAAAATAAAGTAATACATGTGATTTGTGACCATTGCCTAATAATGTCTAAGTCTATAAAGTATACATGTTTAAATTTCAAGTCTTTTAATATAAAATCATAATGCCTATAACTCACAAAATCGTCAGCTTTAATCTAGATGAATTTTTGAAAATTGCTCTCATTATTATCATGTATAGGAGGTGTATAGAAGCTTTGCTTGTATTTTTTTGCTTGAAATTCATAGCCTATAATTGCAATACCTAGTTGGTAGATTGTTGTAGTGTTTGGTCGCAGTGTATGAAAAGCTCTTCTTGTATAATGATTTAAAGTGGTGGGATATAACTAGAGATTGACTATTACTTGCTAAGTTGTCAACGTCTTCAAATTTTTTGTAGTTTATTGAGAAGGTACTCAGGTTTGTTATTCGATAAGGTCTTATGGACTAAAGATAGTGTATGACAAATTCTGAGATTTTTTAGAATCAAGTTTTCGTTTTCCTCATAAACATGAGTTATATCGTCATATTTTCTAATACCAAGACAATAACGGAAACAAGAATTTTGAAGTCGCTGCAGCTTGATCTTATCGCTTTGCAACAAAGCCGGTCCATATACAGCATCACAAGAAGATATCCTTGAAATGATTAGTGAATCACACAGATGTAATTTTAACTTACTATCTAGTAAATGTCTTTGAGGATATGATTGTCTGAGGATACCATAAGATTTTGAACATAACTCCTTTATTTGATGGTCAAATTTCAATTCATTATCCATATTTTTGCTTACAGTTACAATTGTCAAAGGAATGTTGTTGATGTTAAGCCGATATAGATTTTCACTTTCTACTATAATCCGTTTCTGCTTTGGTCCAAAAATCATAACTTTAGAAGCATTAAATTATGAGCAGCCGAAATGTGATACATTGTATTTAAATCATTGTTGACCAAATAAATGGAAAAAGATGCACTATTGATATGAAAATATAATATAATTGTGTCGTCTACGTAGTGATGAACGTTGCTGTACTTCATATCAGTATATAAGTCTGAAATATACATTGTTATCGGAGATTTATTGGACTCGTTCAAAAAAATTGATACATATTCGTACCTTTCCTTCAGAAAACAGAACAGAAAGTTGATAAGCGGGAGAGCTGAAGTCAAAGTATTTCAATTTAGTGCCAGGTATATCATGGTCCATGGTATCGAAAGCCTTGCTGTAATCACGTAATACTAAACAATTTTGCGACTGAAATCATCAAATCATCGACAATGCAAGCTAAACCTGTTGTAATACCATAAGCAAGTATATTTGTCGCTTTCAGCCCAGCCGAGCAAAAAGACTTCGCCGTTCAACTGCAAAGCCTCGCCGGCCAATGCGAAGGCTCCCCCGTTCCTTTGGTTCTCGAAACAGGCCTAGCCATTCCACCTGCCAACCTGACAGATCTCCCAGTTTGCTTGGAATTCACGCCGCAAGACTTGAAGCCACATTTGAGGCCGAGGAAGGTGGAGAGAGACAAGAAAGAAACGGGGCCGTTTTTGTTTACCCCCATACATTTTGGGGGAGGAGGAAGTTTGGAGAGGAGGTGCAAGAAGGGGAATGAAAAGCTAGGTACTATGACAATAGCCTACTGTTTGACGAAAATATTCATATGAGATAGAGACTAATATTAGATTTTTCATGTACTGTCTTTTTCGTCCATTGAATGAAGATTCCCGCTAAAAAATATAACTGTATTCAATACTAGCTGTTACCCGCGACTTGGTACGCTTAAAATTGCTAAACTAACTAAAATTTCAACAAACCAACACATTGGATTAAACCGAATTTTACTTTGTAAAAAATACTTCTCTGTCTGTACCGAGTGTTTCAAATTGGACCCTCATCATTGGGATCTCGGAAACGGTAAGAGATACGAATTCGCTTAGATGAATTTTTTCCTGACTTTGTAGTGGGATTTCAAAATAACTGGTACATTCTTATTGGCACTTTTTCTCCTCTACAAGGTGACTTAATTTGAATTACAATAGGACGTTTCGTTGCTTGTAGTACCTCCAGTACCAAATTTATTTTTTCTGATTTCAACAATGTATGTATGTATGTATCATATATTGATATTGCCAAACCTTCGTTATTTAAAAAAGCAGAATTTCCTAGGTAAGCCTTGGAATTCTCAGGTATTGCATGTTAACATCGCCACTTTTTCTCATCTGCAAGATGGCACAATTAGGATTTCATTATAACGTTTCGTCTCTTTTTCTCCACTTTATTTTTTCTAATGGATTTTTGCGCAGATGAATAGAGTCTTTAATTCTGTTTTCAAAAATGTTATGTCATACATTGACATTGCCAAACCTTATAGTTATTCTAGAAAAACAGAAGTTTCTGGGTAGGCGTTGAAATTATAAGATTTCATTTGTTTCGTATACCAGATCATACCTCAAATTGAACATAGAAACAGAGTTTGGAAGACTGTGAGGGGAAGAGAAATAAATCAAGCAGTGAGCAATGTACAAAGAAGACTCAGGCTTTACCTACAAAATAACGGACAACATTTCGGACATCTGCTGATTTTCCTTTGCTTATTTATGATTATTACTTCACCATCAATAAAATTTTCATTTTGTGTTCAGATTTCATCATACCTTTTTATTACCTTATAATTTTAATCGAACAGCAAATTCATGGCCAACTAAAGAAATACATCACTGAATTTAGGACTGAAAAGTCCATTTAAATGTAAAGAATTCCAATATAGCATCGATATGAAAAAACAAAGTTGGTGATGGAACTCGACAGAAAAAATGTCGAATAGAGAATTTACCTACATCATCTTTTAGGGGAGAATAAGTAATAATGAGAACATGCAATTTATTTTAAAATCCAATCTCAAAAATAAAGTCAGGAAAAAATAAATGCGATTTTGGGATCAATCTGGCATGCTAAACAAATGACTATCTAATAATTTCAAGGCCCGCTATTTTTGTAAAAACTAAGTTTTGGCAATGTCAATGACGTATTATACATTTTTGGAATCAGAATTAAAAACTCTATTCATCTGTGCAAACATCTAATATGACATCTATGAGAAAAAATACAGTTGATGCTGGAGGACAAGAGACGAAACGTCATATTGAAATTATAATTATGGCTTCTTATAGAGGAGAAAAAGTGGCTATGTTAATGTGCAGTACATTTTGAAATCCCACTACAAATAAAGTCAGGAAAAAATTGGAAGGATTTTGGGAAAATTCGGTTTTTCCGTCTCTCGCTGACACTAAGTATTTGAAGTATGTAAAAGTTTGATTAACATAACTTACAAAGTCGTTGAGTTCGTAGCTACAATGTTTTTTGTTTGTTGGAGATTTCTAAAATGTCAATTATACATAATTTTTCGTTCACACACTTTATTGAATCCATTTTCTGTAATTTTACATTCCTGTTCATTAGAATTACATTTAGTATTTTGAGAATTCATAAAGTGATTTTTTAATTTCACTTTAAACATTGTTTAATATCATTACTCAATTTATTAAATTCAAATACTCCCTTTTGAAATAGAGATTTGCTAGTTATGCTATTAAAATTTTTCGATTATTCGATATAGCGGTAACAAATGGTTTTTTAATTTGAATATGAAAATGAGATCTGAATAACATATGAAATTTGTTACATTCAACCACTTCTTCTAACATATATGTATATCTTAACATATTTGTTTTTATTTAAAATGATTCTCATAGCTTTATTTTGTAGAATTTGTAATTTTGAAAATATGTTTTCAATTGCTGTAAACAAGATGGTTGAACAATATAAAAGGTGGGGAAGAATTATAGTGCTTTACACAACTTTTTAATTTTTAATATATAATAATAGTAATTTATCTTTTTTAATATTTTTGAAATAATGTATTCATAATGCTCGTTAAACAGTAGTTTATTATCCACATATATACACAGATAATTAAATGATCCGATTACTTCAATTTTTTTATCATTAATCATGAACCTAATTGTATTGTCACCTAAAGCTTTCCCCATTGACATACATTTTGTTTTACTAGTGTTTAATTTCAGTTTATTAACATTTAACCAATTCATAGTTTTTTATTATCATTATTTAACAATATATATGTATATATATATATATACAGGGTGGCCCATCCACGTGTGGACGGAATATTAATCATAAACAAATACATTTTGAGAAAATTTATTTATGGGATGTTATACACGACATTTGAGGGAACATTTCTAAAATATTGGCAATTATACAGGGTGTCCCAATTTTGACCTATATATCAAAGTTGTGATTTTTTAAATAGTATGCCTCAAATTTTATTGCATATTTGGATAAGAAGATTTATATAACATACTATGGGGTTTTGGTAATTAGCTACTGAGATGTAAGGTATTTTGTCCAGAAAAACCGTCCACTTCGGCAACCCCACAATCCGCCATTTTGAAATTTGGAGTGCTGAATTTTGGATAAAAAAAAACTCAAACACCTCAGCTTTTATCTTATTTGTTACTTTTTCGAATTTTCATTTTTGCTCATATAGGATGGTCCAAAACGCGAATTGTACTTTTTCTCAAAAATTTCCAATTTATCACTCTGTATATTTGTGCAAGTTTGGATTCAATTTTATATAAGCTTTTTTGGTTCAGATAAAATCACTAGATTTTGAGTTATTAAGCTTTTAACAGAACAGCACACCAAAATTAAGGAAAAAAAAATCACATCATCCATGGAAACAAAAGACAAACAGTGGGCTACTGTTGCCACTAAGGCCCGTATCGTCAGTCGTCCCTACAATTGTAGGGCGCCTTTTTGGCGTCCTTGATTGTCATAGTTTTCTACTTCTCCGTGTCAGCGCTCTATTTTGAGGTTATGTCACAAGCATCTATTTGCATCAAATTGTGCTTGCTTTTGAGTTATATCATGTTTTATCAGCCTGAAATTTCCTACAATTTAAAAAGAAAACATATCTTCCCAATAGGAGAACGCTGACGCTGACACGAGACACCTGTAATCTAGAAATTTTTGAAGGAGAGAAAGGAGTATGACAATCAAGGAGGCCATAAACGCGCCCTACAATTGTAGGGACGACTGACGATACGGGCCTAAGAGTACAGATTTGACGCAAAAACTAATAACAATCAGAACAGTATAAATCAGCTTCAAGCGTAATAGAGAAAAACAACTATAACAACAACATAAACAAACAACTATCACTACTCAAGATCGAATCTATAAAAACTTCTCGAAAATATCTGCATCATGCTGAATACACTGCCGTGGTCTTTGGACAAATGACCGTTGCACATCCCTCAGCATGTGCTCCCTTATGTTCAGAAAAGCATCCTTAGAAGTCCATAGGTGTCATATCTGGCGATCTAGGAGGCCAAGATATAGGCCCATCACGACCGATTCAACGATTGTTACTCCAGGTGTCCAGATAGTTACGCACACGATTATGATAATGCGCAGGTGTGCCGTCATGTAGGAAGTACATATGCATCCGATTTTGCAGGTTGACATCCTCCAAAAGCAAAGACAAATGCTCGATCAAAAAATTAAAGTATCCTGTACCTGTGAATCTGTTGTCGAAAAAGAAAGGCCCGATAACTTGTCTGCCAATAACTCCTCCCCAAACATTCAAGCTTCATTTATTTTGGAAATCTATTTGCCTAACACAGTAAGGGTTTTCCGTCGCATAATAGTGCATGTTATGCCTGTTGACAACACCTATGCTGTTAAAAGTTGCCTCATGCTACCATTTGAATACTTTTCACAGTTCACAATTTTCTATGCTAAAATTCATCAAATCCGTTCACTCGTTTTGACGTGAAAACGTAATACACGAATATACACACTTTTGCATTGTTAATGAAAAATGCTGTAAATGCACGACGTAAACGCCCTATTTATATACCCTTACTCACTTCGGTCGGATCAGCGACCAAGCTCCACTCAATTCATGTCAAATTCCATGAAGCAGAGAAAGAGAGAGAGAGAGAGAGAGAGAGAGAGAGGCCAGTATACAGTGTGACACTTTGGTTAAAGAGTCTGTATTTGGCAGTGCTAAATATTACTTTGTAATAATATTTTATACTTTGTCATATTTTTACTCAACTTTTCTCGCTGGTACCACTAAATCGGCGCTTTGCCCAACATTGCAGATACGCAGACATTAAAAATACATGTCCTACGTTTTGTGTTTTAGAAAATAAGTAATATCTGGCAGCCGGGGGACCTTGGAGTATGAAAAGAAATGTTCTGAAGATGCAAATCCATTTTTCCAGATTTTCTATGGGCCCAGGATGATTCCTGCACCGTAATCCTGAATCTGCTCAACCCCCTACCATTCGAGCTGAAAGTGTCCAACATGCGCCTATTGACATCCGGTGTTGTCTTCGAATCTATACCGGAAACGGTGGCTTTGTCCCCGGACACGCCCACTTCTGTCATTTTAAGCGGAATGGCTCGAGAGAGTGGGGAGCTTGAACTGACCGGATACAGCACGCACACTTTGGGCGTTAAGTCGAACTGTAGGTTGAAGGATATGCGAGTGGGCACGCAGTTTCCTGCGAGTTACAAGGTGCAGGTGGTGCCCAGTTTGCCGCTTCTGGAGGTAAGTCTCGCACTTCGGGCGGAGAAGCACTAAAGAGGGACGGGCTCTTTACTTTGCTTATTTATGATGATATGAGTAATGGGGGTCTGAATGGTGATTACCTTAGCAATATTTATAGTTTTACTTTTCCGGGCTCTCTACATAATTAGTTTGATTTCGATTTGAAAAAAAAATCATCAAAAAGTTATAGGGCTTGTACAAAAAGTTTTTAGAGATATGATCTAGATGCATCGTTGATAGCTAATGCTCTACCATTTACTTACATCATACTATCTTATAATATCAAAACATATACATTATTTATAAAAGTACCTATGAAGTAAAAAATTTATTATATATGTTTATAAAATTGTGTAAGTTTTAGGATGTTGGTATTCGCTTTGTGGTCGCAATATATTTTGAACTTGTAAAAACCTGAGAGTCGCAGTCTCAGAGCTTCCTACCTTGCACTGACTTGTTCAATTCGTCACTCTATAAATACGAATGTGGGACAAATACGTTTATTCGTTTCCTGAATCTTGAAAAGGAAAGTGCTAGGAAAATATTTTAAAAAATATAAACAGATAGTATATCACACAAATTATAGTGAGTCAGTGTTATTTTGTTTGAGAGTGCTGGAGAAAAGTAAGTACATTATTTTAGTTTTGTACTCGTAGTTAGCAAAGATAGATAAATTACGCCAATCATGACTTTAGTTATTAGTAGTTAAAATTACACGAGTACTCCTCAATAGTTTCTTTTTGAAAGTTTTAGCAATCGGTAATATAATTACAGTGCAATCTCCGTAATTCGAGCTAATTGTTGCAAGAAGATGTTCGAATTATGGAAAATCAAAAAATATTTTTAATATACAGCTGCTGGATTTTCTGTCTTATTTAAATAATTTAATTTTGCCCACAGATGACTGATGCCATGTCCGAATCTAAAAAGAAATGTAGACAGTACAGGGTTGATTATTTGAAATTGGGCTTCATTCCATCATTGCCGGAAAAACAATCGCCTATGTGTCTTTTATGCAACAAAGTTTTGGGCAATGACGCTACGAAACGATCTAAACTGCAAGATCATCTGAGAAGATGCCACCCTGATAAAACAGAGAAAGATTTGAAATACTTTAAAACACTCAAAGATAAATTTCAGAAGAGACCTACACTGGACAGAATGTTCGCTTCGACGTCACAAAGAAATGATGATGGTTTGCGGGCGTCCTACATTATCTCGTTACTTATAGCAAAATCCGGAAAACCGCATACTATCGGAGATAAGTTAATTTTGCCAGCCGTTGAAGAGGTTTTGAAAACTGTTTTACACAAACCTACATCTGATATCATTAAAAGAATTCCCTCAAGCAACAATACTGTTGAAAGACGTATTGATGAAATGAGTTCTGATATTGAAAGCTTCTTATGTAATTATTTGCAAACGACCCATTTCTCTATACAACTGGACGAGTCAACTTTACCTGATAATGCAGCACTATTATTGGCATATGTTCGTTTTATTATGAATCAAGAAATCTATGAAGAACTGCTCTTCGCAAAAACTTTGATAACCGACACTAAAGGTGAATCAATATTTCATGTTTTGAAGGATTACTTCATTGAAAAAACAATTCCTTTATCAAATATAATATCAGTTGCTACAGATGGAGCACCTGCCATGGTTGGACGTTATCGTGGATTTATAAGCTATTTAAAACAAAATATGTCAGGGGTGTTAGCAATACATTGCGTCATCCATCGACAACATTTAGTTGCTAAAAATTTGAGTGTTAGATTGCATGAATCACTTCATTGATGCAGTTAACCGAATCCGAAGCAACGCGTTGAATACGCGGTTATTTGCGCAGTTGGGTGAAGAAAATGACGAACACTTTCATCAATTACTCCTTCACACTGAAGTACGCTGGCTGTCGAAAGGCTTATGTTTGACAAGATTTTTTGCACTTATGGAGACTATTTTAGAATTTCTGGATACTAAAGATAAAATTTCGAAAGAAAATTTAATGAAGAGGAAAACAGACATCGCCTATTTAACAGATTTGTTTACAAAATTTAATATGGTTAATTTGCAATTACAAGGCGACAGTTTAAATTTGATTAAAACAAAGTCCATCTTATCAGCGTTTCTTGCCAGAGTTAAACTAATGAAGCAAAATATTGGAAGGGGCGAATTTTCTCAGTTCCCCAATTTGTTACAGACAAGCTGCCAGGAAGACGACGTTTCAACTTACGTTCAACATTTAAATGCCCTCTATTCAAAAAAGTTTTTTATGAGATATGTACAAAAGTTTTTAGAGATATGATCTAGATGCATCGTTTATAGCTACATGCTCTTGGTAGAAGTGTGTATCACCTAGAAGAGCGCAGAATGGCTCCTTTTAATCGGGAACTTGGGTCTCAGTTAGATGGGCGTGGCGTTACAATTAATGAACATGTAGAAGTATCCAATTTCGAGTTTGCTGGGGTTACCTATCCTATCTTCTGCTCGAATCCAGTTTCCTTCTTTTTGCGGATTTTGCCCATTTTTTCCTATTTTTTGTTATATATATATATATATATACCTTTCTCCGCATGATAATTTCTCTTTGTTTGGGCTTGAAGTACCACAGCAAGTTGCTATAACCGGCCGCGTGGTTGTGGTTAGATGTCGCCTTGAAAATTCGAGGTCTTCTAACCATTTTAAACTACAGTGTGTAGGTTGGCTCTTGTTGTGGACTCCGTGTGTAATTGATTTTTTCCCTCTCTATCTTCGTTTCCTCCGGTTACACCCGTATCCGGATGTATGGGCATGCGTTTCTACTTTTGTAGTTGCATATGTGCATTCATTTCATCCCTGATGAAGCCAACCAGGAGAAGTACGTATCTCTCAGGTTACGTATCCTATCTTCTGCTCGAATCCACTTTCCTTCTTTTTGCGGATTTTGCCCATTATTTTCCTATTTTTTGTTATACAGGGTCCGTCAGAAAGAACGCATCTTTTTCGAATAGGTACTACATCGAGTGGGCTGGTCCCGTGTCGGTGGAGAAGGGCGTGTTGGATAGTGGAAGAAGTGCCGTTTCAGTGGGCAAGATGGTTTGGAACGTTGAGGATCGTGTGTTCACTGTACGTCGGTATTTTCAAAATGGCGAGTCTGTCGTTCCAACGCAACGTGAGTTTCTCGTTCAGTTTCGTGTTCCACGTCGTGGGACAGTACCAGATCGTAACACCATTTTCAGTTGGATGGAAGCATTCAACACAACAGGTAATGTCGAAGAAAAAACCGTCAGGGCGAAACCGTACTGTTAGAACCCCCGGAAACGTAGACATAGTGAGAGTTGACACGCTGCAAAGCCCGAATTGTTCCGTCCGTTTGCGTGCCAGTTCCCTAGGGATCCATGCGTCATCTGTACGTCACATTTTGACGAAGGATTTAGTGTACCATCCTTACAAAATCCAAGTTTGTCAACAACTGTTGCCAGGGGATTATGCACAACGTGTTAAATTTGCACAACTCATGATTGAACAGTTGCTTAACAATTACATGACGTTGTTTATGAGTGATGAAGCACATTGTCATTTACATGCATACGTTAATAAACAGAATTGTCGATATTGGTAACCAGTGAACCCCCAACTGTTGCATGAGCACCCCCTGCATACCCCGAAAGTTACAGTTTGGTGTGCAGTAGGCCCAACGATGATTATTGGCCCTTATTTTTTTGAGGATGATGGAGAATCAACTACTGTGAATTCAGAGCGTTACATCCACATGCTGAACAACTTTTTTCCGGAACTTCGACGTCCGTCTCAGAACAGTGTGGTTCCAACAAGACAACATCTTTTTTATTGGGCTACCTGAAATCAAAAGTTTACCAAAGCAAGCCTCGGACCCTCGTCGGTTTGGAGAAGGAAATAAGAAGAGAAGTAACCCAAATTCCTGCACGGATACTGGCCGACGCAATGGGCTCATTTCGAGATAGGCTTGATTCCTGCATTTCGGCTCAAGGGCACCATATGGCTGACATAGTTTTTAGAACGTAAATTTTGTTTTACTCAAAAATGGCATGTATTTCTCAGTATTTTGATATAATAAAATATTTTTCCAATACTTATTTTGACTATACTACTCATTTAAAAAACATGCGTTCTTTCTGACGTACCCTGTATATATTGTATAAGTAGATAAGAAGCACGAAATAACTGTCCGTGGTTGGTCAACTTTTGATCGGACAGACGAAAGCATCATGTTTGGTTTATTCAAGGGCTAGCAGACCACATCTACTTTACAGCCAGAATCGCCAGACATCTAGCGGTGATTGGGCTATTACACGTGAACTAAGAGCGTTAATATTCTGCGCAGTGGTCGATAATGGTGTGATAAAGGACGCTTTGTGTTGTCTTATTTCGATTATTAAAACGTTGATATACACTAAGAATATGGTGTTGTGTTAAATGAGAACTAGTGTTGATATTTTAAATACATTTTCTAGGTAACAACGTCTCTACCTCAGTCGTTATCAGCATCTGGTTTCCAAGATAACAATGTCACAATGACAGCCAGCACAACTCTGTACCATGGACAGAGTGGGGAATGTATTATTAGCCTTAGAAATGTCAGTGATGTGCAGATAGAAATGCTGGAGATCGATATTAATAGTATTTTGGATCAGACATTGCAAGACCAGATTTTCAAGTGGGATGAAGAAGAGGTGAAGGTGAGAGTGTTCATTTACAGCATTGATTGAACGTACCAGAAGATGAAGATACCAAATCCATGTGAAATTTATAATTGCTTTGAAATGAACTTTTGTCACTACATATTTTATTTTACGTGCAATTATTGCAGATGTTGCTTCCTATATCTCCTAATGAAGTGAAAACATTCAAAGTGATGCTATTTTCTCCTGGAAATTTTTTGCTGCCAAACGTAGCTGTATCTCCGACATTTCCTCAAGATTTAGGCAGCGGAGTTTTTAGCAGTATGTCAGCCTCTTTACCAGGTAAGTGCGACAACTCACCACTTAAGTAATACTTGAGTGTGCGTTATTCGTCAAACATCTAAGCAACACTCTGCATTTAAGTAGAACTCAAATAGCGAATTCAACATGGCAAACAGGTTTGCAATAAATGTGTTTATTGCGCTCAAATTTGTCTTTTTTACGTTTTTGAGGTCGCTGATAACGGATTTGATATCGATTATTTTCAAATAAATGCGACTGAAACCAAAATTGACATATTTCTTAACTGGGCGTATGAGAGACATGTTACTATTCGAAATTAATGTGGACTATAATGGAAGTTTTTTATAAACTCATTTTGAATTCATTGAGTCACTGCGAATAATGGAAAAAATGTCAATTACATAATATTATTAATGTTTGGAGTCATGTTTCGGCTGGCAAATAATACAATGTCGAACATACTAAGTGACAGAAAAAAGAATATCCAGTAATGAATTTATTAAAACAATTTCTTGTTTACGTCTCTTAGGGTTAGGTAAATGCTCAAAATTTCAGAAAAATCCAACCGTTAAAAAAATGTGAAAATAAATCTGTTGGGCATCCAAGATGTCTTATGCACGTAGATTCAGTCTTCTTGACAACATTTTCACAACAAAACTGACGAATTGGTTAGATACACGTACCTGAAGGATTCTTTAGGCCAGTGGTTAGTCCATCTAAGAAGGCTTGTCTTGCTGAGTTAATTGCAGAGTCAGCCCATACTTTATTCTTTACATGTCCTGCATTTATCCAGGTTTCATCCAAGTGATAAATCTTCCTGCCTTGGTCGCGGTATTTATTTATTGATTTTAAATAATTTCTTCTCCATAAAATAATCTCTTGGCTGTCCATCAAAATACTATTTATGCCCCATTTTCTATACTGAAAATGAAGTTCTTTCAGTAAACTATAGAATGTGGTTCTTTTGAAAGTAGGTAAGTCTTCATCACTATTAACCTCCTTTAATTCTTTGTCTATGGTGGGAAGTTCCTGCCTTTAAAAAAATTGATCTTCTTTGCGCCTAATGGCATTCCGATCAAAGTTATCAACTGTATCCAATAACTTCGTGTAGTGCAGCCTCTTGTGTGGTGGAGACAATTTTTTGTTTTTTTTTATATTCTTTATACAGTGTGGAAAATTGTCTTAGGGCATAAGCCTATTTTGTTTGCCACACGTCTTTCAATATCATGAATTTCCATTTCAGGATGCTCTAAAATTTCGCATTTTTAAACTTAAAGGACAATTTATTTTGCCTGAATATTCAAATGTCTCTTCTTGTCACGTTTTCGGGAAGGAGACATCACTGAAAAGGAAGCATGGCTGAAGGAAGTGTTGGAAGAAATATTCTCACTTTCATCTGCTGTATCCGTAGTCGATATGCTAACGTATAAACACACGCCAAGTATGCACCGAATATGAACAGCAACTGCAGGCGTCGGCGTGCCGACGATATCCCGAGCCTGAGTTCTATCCTGTCGAATCCTGCACTTGTTAGTAGTTTTGTGGCCGACTGACCAATAGCTATTGCATTGCAACGCTTATGCGACTGCCGCTGTGCAGCGCTGCATCTTTGTTATGCCGGGGCGTAAATGGACTACGAATAGGGTAAAGACATCTTTGCACTCTGGTGGATATTTATCTAATGGACCAATCAGCCTCACACAAGCTCACTACGCCCCCTATTAAACTCGATAAGCTTTTGAAAATTGTCTCGTCTTCCCACAGTGAACAGATTAAAGCAGTTCTTCATAACATATTGTACGATGATTAATTTTTTTGTAAGAACAGACGATATCACAAAAATGACTTTATTAATATGGTTGAAAAGCTTGCCGTTTCTTGTTCTAACCTAAACAAACATATACCTAGAAAATCTTTGTACTAAATTCATTATTGCTGGGCGTTTTTTGTTCTATCACTTAGTATTATACATACGTTCGACTCCGCAATCCATTTTGCGACATCTCAATACAGCTGATTATTTTAATAAGCGACACTATTCAGGTGCATCATTTTGGCGTGTTATGCGCCAGACGTTCACTTCACTATAATTTTCGCATCCAGAGCGATTGAGTGGAAGTGATGTTTTCAAAAGATTAATTTTGCATGCATGTAACTGCACAAAATCTGGGGAAAATGCGAATATTTTGTTCTTACTTTTGGTCAGGTTTTTTGTTTTCGAACCACTGTGAGATGGAAATTGTATGTGACCAGTGGATTGGAAATCTTTTGGAATCAATGCTTCTAAAAGAATACTTATATTGGACTCTTCTAGTCGCATTAGGCTTTTAACAAGAACGGGAACACTGAGTTTTTCTTTAAAAACGGTCAGTCGATTTGTCTAAAAACTGAGTTTGATGATGATGTTTCTCGCTTTCCTGAACAAACGTTTTCAGCAATCATATGATTAGTCTTTAAGAAATAGAGGGAGGAAGTTTGCCCAATTTGCAAAAGTGGCGAATGTGCTGATTATACCATAGTTATCAAACCAAGTACTCAGAGAATTGTTATACTGAAGAAAGTATGTATTTCATTTATAAAACTTATAGGAAGGTGTTGGGAGGGGTCATGTTGATCTCGGTCATGATCTTTACAAGGTCAATTCAAGAGCAAGCTTATTTTTATACATTGACACTGAAATGAATCTGATACGAGTTGTTTAGTTGTCTTTGATTGTCCTTTACAAGGTCAATTCAAGGACATATTGATTTTGAAGGCGAAATAAAAAGAAAAAGTGCAGTAAAGTGAACATCGCTTTAGGGTGTGCACTATTTATTTGAGTTTTTTTATCCGGTCTACTTCCGGCAAATTTACATCTGTAATTTATAATAAATAATTATTGCGTAATCATCAGGTAAATCCTCGTTATTTTCATAAACTTGTAGAGAAGATATCTATAGTCGATACCTTATTGGATTTCTAAAACGTGAGTACTTTCTACTTCAGGCTAACGCTAGAACAACGTTTGGCTGTTGCGCCGTTGATAACAGCTGAAACACTAATGCAGCATTATATTACTGTTTATACATTTATGCTGAATACTTTTTCTATTTAACTATTTGTACATTGTGACCATATTTTTTTTGTTGCTCTTAACCGCTTATCACCTTTTTCATTCTTATTTAATCATGTATATTTTTATTTTATTTATATACAGTAATGGATAAAAGTATATAGACAAATATGAATATTTACCTAAATACATTTAGAAAACGAATTCATACTTCATTGCTCCATAAACAAATGCGTTATTGGTAGAAAAACTAAATTCCTTGTTTTTAAATTATCTGCAGTGAACACAATACAAGTCTGAATATAAGCACTTTTTTATGAGGGACAAAAATATGTAGACAAACTCTTTTCAACATTAGTTTAGTACAGTTTCGTGTCAGAAGAGGATTAGTTTTTGTTCATCAAGTATTGTGGAATAAGTTGAGTGATTTTAAGACCATGCCGCGTGGTACAGAAATTTCGTTCGATGTGAAAACTAAGATCATTGAGTTATACAAAGGTGGTCAACGTCAAGCCGACATTGCCAAAAATTTGAAGCTGAAGCGTAAAGCAGTTTGAGCAATATTGAACAAATATAAACAAAAAGGTATCTTGGAAGCCTGTAAGAGAAGTGGTCGGCCTAAAAAACTAAATGCTAGATCAGTTAGATTAATAAAAGTAATTTCGTCCAAAGATTCGTTTAAACCCCCAGACAAATAAAAGCCGAAAACGAGACAACAGGAATTGTCAGTGTTTCTACGAAAACTATAAGTAGAAGATTAAATGATTTGAACTTATTTGCACGTCGCCCGAGTAAGAAGCCGCTAATCTCGAGGAAAAACCGTAAGGACCGACTACAATTTGCACGGTTGCATCTTGATTGGAGCATCTGTGACTGGAAGAGGGTATGTTACAGTGACGAATCCAGGTTCAATATGTTTGGATCAGATGGTGTTCATTACGTTAGACTAGTGGACAGAGATTGAACGCCAAGTACACTTTGCCCACTGTTAAACATGGATGCGGGTCTGTTATGGTTTGGGGGTGCTTTTCGGGGTTTGGCATGGGACCTTTACATAGAACAGATGGCATTATGGATAAGTTTGTATATACAGACGTACTAAAGCATGTCATGTTACCCTATATGGAAGATAATATGCCCTTAAGATCAATCTTCCAGCAAGATAATGACCCGAAGCACACTTCAAATCTCGCAAAGAAATTCTTTCTGGATGAAAAAATACCAGTGCTCAAATGGCCTTCACAGTCTCCCGATATAAACCCCATTGAAAATATATGGGAATACTTAGATAAGCAAATACGAGATAAAAATTATTCAAACAAAGATGAACTTTTTGCCGCTTTAGAGCAAAAGTGGAGGCAGATTGATGAATCTTATATCAAGAAACTTCTACAATCTAGGCCGACTCGATGCCAGGCGGTGATTGATAATAATGGTTATGCTACAAAATATTAACACAAACATGGTTGGTTTTCTATAATTCAATGAACTTTGTTTCTTTTTTCTATAATTGTTTTGCTTTGTCTATATATTTTTGTCCTTCATAGTTCCAGTTTTTTCAATTAATTTTTTTTGAAGGGAGTCTAATGAATTTATTTATGTGAGTATTATGCTATAACGAATTATGTATACAGGCTGGTATATTAATAAAACAAGTTAAAAAACAAATTCAGCACAATATTAATTTGTCTATATACTTTTGACCATTCTGTAAATCTGAGGTTTTCATGTTGTACGTTTTTCATATCCGTAAAGCAATTTGAATAGAAGTTAATATTTTACTAGCACCGTCCCATAAATAAAAAGCATCAGCTATTATATAAAGGTCTTCTAGATTCTCTACTTGCTGCATTTTAATGGCTTTCTCGAGGAATTTAAAACTCGATTTGATCACATTCATCATTTTTGAAAATTGGTGAGAAATATACTGAATTTTTAGACAAATTGGGTGATATGAAAGAAAGTTATGTTATAGGAAGACTTACTTTGAGCATAGTTAATGATAGAGTGTCAATTCCCTTGGAGATCATTTTGAGGTCATATTTAAGGTCAACTACGTTTGTTATCCTAACCTTTTCTTGAAAGTTTTCGGGGTATTCTAGTATTTCATAGACACCCTGTAAATGTATGCAAATGCGAAGATGTGTTCGCGGATAAAACCATGCCTATAAACTACCTCGGATGAAAATATGAGTAAGTGTACTCATTCTTATGTCTCTTCGTATTGTGGTTCAGACGTGATGCTGCCAGACTGGAGAGATATTTACATTAATATATTGTTGCATTAAAATGTTGAATAAAAAATATCTTTTGCCAAAATAGCCATACTTTACATTACACGATTTCTACGCGAGCGAAGCTGCGGATTCAGGCTAGTTTTCCATATGTTTTGTGCGGGGTCATTTCATTTTTTTTTCTACAGGTGGCTCGCTAGCGTTGAGGCATAACTCAAGTTTCCGTTCATCTAATTCCGGCCAGTCCAGCATAGTAGGAGGCCTAACGACTCTGTTTCAACAACCATCTAACTCAACCTTTGAAGCGCAATTCAGGATCAAGTACAGCGGCTCAGATGGCTTGGTCGCTGAATACTGCAGGAGCTGTTCTTTGCTGTTTGTGCTAGAAATGATACCGTCGTTGCATGTTACCAACTGGGACGTCTTGCCGGCAGAAACGTAAGAAATTGTGGGATGCAATTAGTTCCTAACACCGATAATTAAAAGTAATTTGATTGGTCAAAAGTGCACTGTGAGCATATAGTTGGCTACAGCGCCATCTATGAGACGCTAACCTTTTGATAGTATGTTTCTGATTTGCATGCGGAGGAGAAAGATAGCTGTGACAAATTCTCATAGATGACTCTTGCAGCAGGGTTATTACGAAAAACAACTCTAGAACTGAGGCAAGAAGTTGAGTCGGTGGATTTTTGTCACAAAAATTATAGCATTCTGGAATTATACAATTATTCGCTTCAATCCGACTATAATTTTTAGGAGGGCCTAAATGGTTCTAGTCTCCACAATTTGGCAACGTGCTAAAGTGATCATAAACCTCTAAAATTTCTGTCGTTTCATGACCATAAGCGATTCTAAGTGGTTTTTCCAAGACTGACTTGCTCTAAACTCTAATTATATGATATATGAAAAGTTTTAAAGTGTATCTGAATCTGCTACCATCTCTGCACGTGTTGAACAATTAGTATTTCATGTTTGTTCACTGCTTCCGTGTATTTCCTCAATTCGTGATTATTACTCTCGTTTTTACATTTCACGTTTGCCTTGTATTTTCTGCTTATACTAGAGCTCGTTCCATTTAAAGCCGAAGAGTCGTATCATCAGTCGTTCCTACAATTGTGGGACGCCTTTATAGCGTCCTTGATTTTCATAGCCCTCCTTCAGAAAGGCTGGGGTACTTCTAGATATCTACTGTTCCGTGTCAGCATCAACGCTCTCCTGTTGTGAGGTTATGTTTTCTTTTTGAATTGTAGGAAATTCCAGGATGATAAAACATTTGATGCAAATATATATTTGTAACGCAACCTCAAAATATAGCGCTGATACGTAATAGTAGAAATCTAGAAATACCCCTACCTTTCTGAAGGACAGGTACAATTTTAGGAACAACTGACGATAAGGACCTTAGAAATTACCAGCTATTCTTTCTTGGAGCTTTTGTTTGCTGAATGACCCTGTAAACCGGCCCACATTGGTGTCCATATAGTCTACTTAGGAGTTTAAATGTATTACTACTACTATTACTAACTTTTTATCAGTAATTTGCTGCATGGTCTTTCCGTTTGAAATTTTCTTGCCTGCTGACCAATTATTTTGAGAGTCGGGATTATTGCAGCGTCTAAATCTCGTTTATCCACATATGTTTGCCGGCTACAAACACGATTATACTTTTAGCCTCCTTTCTAGTTCTCAAACAAACTTAAACCAATTAGGTAATTCTGAAACGACAAAAATAATTGAAAGTCCGCCGTCACGTGACGAAGCGACTGCAGGTAGGACTATACGTCATAGTTCTAGGCGGTTATAAAATTACATAATAGCACTGCAGGATATCTAATTTCATGTGAGACTATCACAGTCTTAGAATGCTAATCAATGCTGTTTATTGTGGAAAATCGAACATCTAAAGACATCCAACATGAAAGAATTTTCCATGAACCCCGATTTATTCGAGCTAGAACAATCCCAGCAACTAAGCAGTTCCATGCATTCATCACCATGACAGAAGGCTTTGTGTTTAGAAGTACTAGTATTAGCGAGTGAAGTGAAATTGCAAATATTATAAAATAAGGTATTCCTTTTAACATTAATGTGGTTTTACTAAATACGCCTTTTCCGCAGACTAGCCGACAAATAAGCGCCTAACGTCATACTCAGTGCGGTATGTACGGGTATGTAAATAAAAATATCTGACCTTAGTGGATGCGCATCTCATTTTAAAACTTGTAGTTTATAACTTTTGGTTATGTTTTGAAGTAAAAAAATCAGGATAAAAATAGTACAAATTACCCTTGATTGATTGAAGCTTTACTTCCGTTTTTTCACCATATTTTTTTTCAAATCGTATAAAAATAAAATATACTTCTATGCCAACATATATTTTAATCGATTTTTAGAGCTAAAATACTTATAATGTACCCAATATCTCGCAAACTAGTCGACCTAAATAAGCCCTAATTGAATACCCAGGGCGACATATATGTACATAAAAATACTTATAGTTACAGTCTAGTTCTTGGCGGTAACGTCATCAATGCCATATGAAATAAGTAAACAAATCGAGTCTCCGTACCATAAGCGGAATACTGTACGCATGAACCAGGGTAACAGGGGACCGCTGTTTTCATTATCTTCATGGAAATACTCCAATAAATTTATCACGAGCTGTCGGCCTTCTCTATTGATCGTATTTTCGGGCATTGTTCAATTTTATATTGACAAATATGATTGAAGGGCACTCATGCGTTACGACAAAGTTTTCGAGACGGAGACATACAACAAAAATACGTATGTCTTTGAGCTTACCGAACAAACGTTCACACAGGGGTAGGTTGTAAGTGTATGTATGAGGGAGATGAAGATTGTATAAAGGGATACTGGTAGTCTTACTTTGACCCGCCAAGAACGGTGACTACAACTATACCTCCTTAATTAATTATCATACCAGTTCAAAGCTTTTGAAGTATTTTAAACACTTAGGCTATATTTTGGAATAAAAAAGTAAAAAATGGAATTTGTAATAGTTTTGGTTTGAAATGTTTACTCCCGGTTTAGCACCTTAAGTTTTTTTTGTAATTTGAAATTTGGGTTTTTTATCAAAAATTACAAAAAATTTCATATAAAAAACGCTATGTATCATATTCCAATATCATTAAAAAAATTCCAATTTCAAATACGACTTCACTATCGAACCCCGTAACTTAGCAAATGAACGTGCCACGAAAAAATACCTAATCGTGTTTTTGCTTTCATACCTACTAGATGTGCAAACAGGCCCTATATGAACGAATTTTAAAACCTCACTTTTTTGCTGTCCGCCTCACGTAGAATGCTATAACTGAATTTTCTAGGAGCTCCCAGTTCTACCTAGTCCTCGACATCGTAAACCTGACCAACCAAGAGATGGAACTTCATTACACAGCGGGCAAGACGATGTTAGTGGACGGTCAAGAAAGTTGCCGAGTACCCGTACCAGTTGATAGATGTCCGCTGTCAAAACTGTCAGCCTTCTACCAGGACAGTGTTGATAAAAACCCCGAGGAGCGAATCAAGAGCAATGTTGATGTCGAGAGAATTTGCTCAGAGCATATCACTGAATTTGTTGATTTAAGATGGCATTTGTTGGCGTCGAATGCTAGAGGAGTGGCGTCGCTGAAAGGAATCAATTTGACGTCTAGGATGTTGGACATCGTCAGGATGTCACCCCTGAATTGGGGTAAGTATAGTGATTAAATACGTTCACCGTCATTGCTGTTCCGAGCGTTTTTTGTGTCGCGATAGATTTCTTCCCTAATGGGTGATAGATTTCTCCCAAGAAATCATAAGAGATTCACAAGGACCTGTACTAGATTATCAACTTTAAATGTATATACGTTATCCTATATTATCCGAGCTTCACACTTTTTATAATGAAAAAACACGAGAAGGCAAATAAGATCTAAAAAACCTCTATAATTACTAATGCTTTCTCAATTCGTATACTTCAGGCGGAATAAAAAAAAACGAAAAAAAAATCCGACTGGGCCACCTAGGACTGGACAACCACCTATTCGTGAATTAAAAAAATGATCATAACCATGTGCAGGTATAGAACTAATTACACAGATGCCACCAGCAGCTATCAGGAAAAAATACGAAAAGTAATAGAGATCATGAGCATAGTAATAGATAGTAAAAAATTATGATATCATTAGATCTATTACGATTCTAATAGATGGAACAAGTAAAACTACCAGTATGATTTTCACACCTCCATCTCCCTCACACATAACCATACGTTTCTGTTTTGGCTCACCAGCTTGAAAAGTTTGTAAATGATATGTCATGGTTTTTAGCTGTTACATCACATATTCATCATGATCAACCATGTCACTCATTACCGTCGGTCTGTCTGGCAGTCTGTCCGGTAACACTTAATCCTTCTATAACTCGGAAAGATCGATTGGATTTCGATGAAATTCTGAAAAAAATGAAAGATTGTCAGTCCGCTTAATAAAACATGGTGTGTCCCAGAGCGGTGTTTTAAGTCCTCTACTTTTGATTATGAATGTAAATCATATCCCAAATTATTCGCAATGTTTATTTTTGCCGATTATACTCTCTTATCAATTAATGTAAAGAATATAACGAAACGTTATATATAATTATAAATATATATATTAAGAGAGAAAAGGATCGTGCGGAGAAAGGAATCCAGCTTGAAATTTGGTTAAAATGTTGTTTCCCTCAATAAATTCGATGATCTGTTCGTAAATAATTTCTTCGAAAACTTTTTCAACATCTGGCAGAACATTTATTGGCCGCATATTGGCGTACAACTCAGAATTTTTAACTTTAGATACAGGAGTAATGGTAGAACACTTCAGTTTTGTTGGAAATTCGCCATATTTTAAACAGTACTTTATCAGGATTAATATTCTTGCTCCAATAATATCAAAACATTCATTAAACACACTTTTAGACAAAATCTCACTCTTATTTTGATTTGATTTAATTTTTGATATAATCTTCTTGAGTCGATTAATGTTTATTGTTAAGGTTAAGTGTAAGAGTAGCCATTTGGCTAAACTTCGCCTCACTGATGTATGCTGATTAATAAAGACATTTATTATTATTATTATTAAACTCACTGAATGATGCATTATAATATGAGCTAATGGAACATTAGGATCCCCGTCAATAATTGATTTTACAATGTCGTTTACACTTTCTATAAAATAGGTATCCGTTCGATCTGCTATTATTTCTTCATTTGTTATTACCCCATCGTCGAATTTCATTTTAGATAATGTACTTTTACTAATAGGAGAAACAATGTTTTTCAACGTTTTCCACATATGTTTGCTATTATTTTTACTCTGATCAATTTCGTAGATCTGCTACAGATTGGTTTCTTGATCTTGTGTATTCTAGCCAATCATTTTCACTTCCAGTAATCATAAACTTTTTATAATTGTAGTCTCTGTTTTATTTAGAATCCTTGAACATCTGCGAGAATCAAGGTGTTGGATTTTTCCTAAATTGTTGTCTTGACTGAAGCTTCTTTTATGCAAACTTCAACATTATCCAATAGGCTTATATAGTAGCTATCAACATCAACAAACGCTTCAGTCATATCTTGCAGTAAAAGAGCTTCTCGTAATTTTACATAGTTAATATTAGTAATTTCTTCCACTTTGTTAGCATCAAATTTACTTTCAATTTCAAAACATATCCATGAATGATCACTGATCTTAGGAATATGCATAACTTTTGCAATTAAATTTTGTTCGTTCGTTATTATCAAATCTATAATTGTTCTTGATTCATTTGTAATTCTAGTGTGATCATAGACTTTTTGCCATAGTCCATAAAAACTGAGTGCCTGTTTAAATTTCTTTGCGTAGAAGTCTTGATTATCAAAATTTATATTAAAATCACCCAAGTGTACCGTGATGCAGTTTCGATAAAAATGTTTTTCACAGATATTTTCGAAAAAATCTATAAATCTGTTTATATTTCCAGTTGGAGATCTGTAGTAAATGTGTAAATTATAATTGTGCTTAAGATTCAATTCAACATTAATATACCACCATTGGTACTCAGCAGCTACAATTTCATGTAAAATATATAATAATGTACCACCTTTATATCTGGAAATTGTGTTTGCTCTTACAATTTGATTGCCTTCAAAACCAATTTCTTCATCGTCAATATCCTCTGTGAGATGTGTTTCAGTTAAACAGAGCATTACCGGCTTCACTGACATATAGTTTGCATATTCTTTTATCTGTAATTGCTATGGTTTATCACTGTAATATGCTTTGGTTTGTGTTTTTTATGTTCCATTTGGACTATGCTGCAAATTTTATTAAAGGGTGAATGGTGTATGTCGAAATTTGTTTTATATTTTGAATTAGATTCTTTACAATTTGGACAAGTTGTTTCATTTTCTGGTATTTCACAGGTGTGCGGCTGATGTCCACTTCCACCACATTTCAAACAAATACCATTCTTGGAGCAATTCTTTGCACTATGGTGGAAACCAGCACAATTGAAACATCTTAGCAGGTTATAATGTTCAAAAATTGTACATACATCGATAGATATAAAAAGTACACCTTCTTTCATAACTTCACTAAATGTAGTCTCATCTAGTTTCAAGATAGCCTGATATCGTTGTTTCATCTCCACTCTTATTATTGAATTAGATCTAATAACTCTTTCTTTTATGTCCTTAATCAGTTCTTCTTTACCCATTTCTTCACTAAAACCTACGACTTTAATCATAGGTAATTTCTTTCGACCCACGTTAACTGTATAATTTTGTGCAATTTTTTTTCCACTTCTATTTTCAATTTAGAGATATCTTCATTATTCTTACATACAATTTTCACAGCTCCATCTTTCAAATCGGTAATTTTTGTTATAGAAACATTCATTTTGGCGGGGTTAATATACTTTCTTTATTTGAAGGCAATTTTGATTTCTAGTAACTGGTTTTATAACAATTGTATTTTGTGGTTCAGGTAGAGAAACAACCACATTGTTAATATTATTTTATTCCTTAAATGCCATTGTTGGTTCTTTGCTTGGATCAATATTTCGTCCATTTTTCACGTCATTAAAAGATAGGGACTGCTCTAGAACACCCGCTTGTATTTGTGGTATTAAGTTAACAACTGAATGTTGCTGTCCTGTGTTTTTGGCCATATCTGCAAAAGATTTACATGGCTTTGTCGTTTTCGTTGAATTTTCAATTTGCCTTTGTAATGATTCAATCTTTTCATATAATTCCTTGATCAATTTTTCTTGAATTGATATTGTATAGCCTTTTAATTTGAGTATTTCCTTTAAACAAAAACCTTTCTCATCCAATATTTTCTCAGTCTCTATTATCACTATCTTCGTCATCATTTGGTGTCTGCATATCTATTCTATCTTCTGGAAAATACTTGACTTACTAAATCTGACAAATGTCTGTCAAAAAGGCCTGCACCCAAAAACTCGAATAGTTCTTGCAGTGTCTCCTCCACCGCCTCTTCCGGTTCACCAAATTTAGCTGGAACACTCTTCTTCTCCAATTAGCAACACCGAAAGCAATTGATTCCACTCTAAATCAGCAAAATTCCAGTTTATTTCAGGATCAAAATCACACGTAGCTCCTAGCATGTACTATTATATATATGACACATTTCAATTATCGCACACTTTTACTTATTTTCTTATTCGGCAGAAGTCTCCAACTATTATTAAATAAATTTATGAGAATATTCAGGTTATAAGGACTATCGAAATAAGACATATATATATATATATATATATATATATATATATATATATATATATACAGGGTGTCCGCAAAGTTGGGGTTTTCCTTTACACGACGTGTAGATCTTGAAAACATAAGCAATTTTTCTTAGTACCATATACACCAATGTCTTAAGGGAACCGAGATAAAGGGCAAAAATATCTGAATACCGTCCAGTAGCCGCGACATCCCCCTATGGTACGAGGACACTAGCTCAACCCGACGACAGAACTGGGTCGGGGTCAGTGTGTCAGGTCAGTATGCAACCTTCAACCGACGGTTACGGTCACGCGTGTAGAGGTAAACGAACCCATATACTCGATTGCGTTTCAAAAAACAACAAGCACTAGAGACGTGGCTAGAGAAGTGCAAGTATCAAAAACTAAAGTGTGGCAAACGCTGCGTGAAGAGGGGCTGTATCCGTTTCACGTCCAACGTGTACAAGCCCTTCAACCTGACGATTTTCCAGCAAGACTGCGGTTTTGTGAGTGGTTGTTGCATCAACATGACAATAATCCGGACTTTTTGAAGTGCATATTGGTGACAGACGAATCTACGTTCACGCGTAATGGCGTGAATAACTTTCGCAACACTCATGTTTGGTCAGTAGAAAATCCGCACGCTGTCCGTCGGGCACATTTTCAACAAACATTTTCGGTGAATGTTTGGGCTGGCATGATGAACGGTATGCTCATTGGACCATTTATTCTCCCAAATCGATTGGACGGGATGCAATACCTAGAACTTTTTACGCAACATTTTGCCTTCCTTGTTTGCCTGCGTCTGCTCGGTAGCGCATCAGCTGATTTCATTTTCTGTTGGAGCGGTATGATTTCGGGCAGAGACGTACTTAGCCCTTCTCGTCAACTGGAGAGTAAGTACTTTTTCCTTTATTTTTTTTACTTGGTCGCCCTCGTTTCACTACACATTACCTTTGTTATTTCAAGGGTAGTTGTTTCTGAAAAGGAAAACCCCAACTTTGCGGACACCCTGTATATATATATATATATATATAAGAATATAATGTCGCTGCAATACCGCTTATTGCAATTTTTCTGGAATATGTTTGATTTTTGACTAGTCAGCTTGGTCTGACTACAGGGTCGGCAAAAAGGTGGCCTAGTTGCCAGACTTCGCCTCCCCACCACCACTACTACTACTTACTACTACTACATGCCGTATTTACTATACCACCAGTATCGGCAGCGTCTAGCGGCCACAGTGGTGATCCGGCTGTTCAATGCGAACTGGGATACAGGTTCCAACAGACAGCTTGCTGTTTCACTCTCGCCGTGGTCGATTCTAGTGATAGATGGGAGTTTTTGTCGTCTTATTTAGGATCATCTACTTGACGCCATGTTTTTCTTTTCAGAGGTAGCCGTAAATGGTGGAATTATTAGAACCCAAGAAGACGTAACTTGGGAAGCTGGCAACCCATTACCATTAAAAATGTCCATAGCGAATGGTTTAGAGAAATCATTATGTCACTTAACATTATCCATACAATTTTATCAGGACTACGAAAACGGAACGTTGAATTACAGAATGGACACTAGGTTAGCTGTTGCTGGCGCTACCAAGTAAGTTTTTGAATAATTATTTGAAGTTGTACTTTACTTAGATTTTAAAAACTAATGGTATACCCTAAAGGGACCGTCCTCACCCAAAGCAGCTGGCAATCTCAACTCGACCCGGCACATGTATCAGGAAAAAGTAATTTTAAGCGATTTTAGGGAATCAAAAGGGCATTTGAAACAATAATTGATAGAAAAAATATTAAAAAAATGTGAATGTTATGATATGAAAGGTACAGCACTACAATGGATTGAAAATTATTTGGAAGAGAGAATACAAAGAACAAAACAAAGTACGGATGTTTTTGAAATGGCTAGTACTCACCGCCTATTTGGGCGAGAGTGGTGGGGAGAGTGCCGACTCGGGCGTTCCTTGCATTTGTACCAGTAGAAATTATGGAGCGAGGACGGTTGAGCACCGCGTTTTCGCGTACCACTGTTTTGTCCGACATAATGAGTCTCTCACGGCTGTACAGCGTGAGTTTCGTCGACACTTCAATATTCATAGGAATCGATCTGTTCCTTCTCGAAGCACCATAGGTTCTTTGAGTTCAATCACTTCGCACACATGGTATACTGATCAAAAGAAACCTCCAGGAACTCCACGAACGGTTCGAACCCCTGAAAATGTGGAACGCGTTCGACAAGTCTTCCTTCGCAGTCCGGCTCGATCTGCTCGGCAACATGCTGCTGAATTTCGCCTCAGTGATCATTCGGTAAGGCGTATTTTGCATATGGAACTCCACTTTCAACCCTACAAATTAGCCATTCTGCAACAGTTAATGCCTGGAGATTACGCACTACGAATGAACTTCGCACGTGAAATGGAAGCACTTATCGAGCAAAATGAGAACCTCATTTTGTTCATGAGTGATGAAGCTCGCTTTCATCTTAATGGCATGGTTAACCAACTGAATTGCCGTTATTGGGAAATGAAAATCCGCGAGTTACGTGAAAGACTGCTACACACCCTAAAGGTGACGGTGTATCGCAAACTTGCATCATCGGCACTTGCTTCTTCGAAGACGGTAACGGCAATGCTGTTACCGTGAACCCGGAACGCTATGTCGAAATGATCACCAACTTCTTTTCGCCTGAATTACGACGACGACGTGTTCCATTCCGATGTGTGGTTTCAACACGATGGGGTGACCGCCCACCTAGCCAGAGCAACGATGAACGTTATTCGTCCTCTCTTCCGTGGTCGCTTTATTTCCGGGTTTGGTCATGTTCATTGACCTCCTCAGTCCTCGGATTTATCCATCCGCAATTTTTTCCTATGGGGACACCTCACCACCTTTTCTTATTTTATTAAAAATGTGCTTATCTGATTTTTACCATTTTTTCAATGTGGGCTTTTAAAACCAGAATGGCCTATTTATATACCTCCTTCTTGTTAGTAAGTGGTCTGTGTCTTTTTCCACAACCTTTAAACGAGCTGCTTAGCAGTTGCTTCAGTGGCAACCCAACCTTTGGTTGGTGTAGAGATGCTTTTGGTGAGAGAACAGTGCGATGTTTCAGTCGTGAGATATAACGGATCATTGTTTCAGGAAAATAATACCGCATCTAGAACCAAACCTGAAGGCGGATCACCACTGCAATGTTATTTTCTTTACTCCAGGCCAATACAAGTTAGATATTCAGTGCTGCGCCCCAGAAAATAATGTGGCTACCACTAATCCTGTTTTGTCAACAGGACACACCTGGAGATTCACCCCCACTATTTCTATAACAGTTACTTGAATTATTGATTAACATATTATCCAAGAAGATGCCCCACCTTATGTTGTATTTGGGAGTTCACTTACAATTTCCATCATCAAAGCCCAGATGAATTGCAGTAATTTCCTTAGAAGTCATAAAAACATACTGCATTTTCCTTTTATAGAAAATCATTTATTCTTAAACATGACATCATTCTATCAACCCCCTTGTAATAATTCCCAAGATTTTGTATTCGCTGAATTTCTTAACGAAAATTCCATAACCTACTGCAACAGTTCGAGAGGTGTCAATCCTAGCGGCTAAAGACGGTGGTGGACACGTATATAGTTATAGGTATAAGTGATTGGCGGCACCAAGGTACGCATGGTTATTTTAGCGCAGGCAATGCTTTCAATTGAATTAGTCATCTTCTAGTATGATTTGTTAATCAATGAAGGCGGGCCTCGCATAAAACAAGGAAAATGGGTCCCAGTCGATTTGTTTAAAAATCGAGTATGATATTGCTTGCTTTCCAAAACAAAAGTTCTCATGGGATCAAAGCATTTTTACTAGTTTCTGAGGAATAGGGGGTTTGCCCGATTTACAAAAATTGTGAAAGTATCGATTGTGGTTCTGAGACAAAATTCTGTTATGCTGAAGAAGTATTTCATTTAAAAACCGTCTAAGAATGCGTTGGGATGTGTCATGTTGATCTTGACCATGATCCTTATAAGGTCAATTTATTTATTTTATACGTTGACACTGAAATGGATCTCGTACGAGTTGTTCCAGAATTTAAAAAAATCACAAGAGGACAGTTCGCTTCACAAGGGTATGGAAAAGTCGTGGTTGTTTAGTTGTATTTGATTATGACTTTTATAAGGGCAAGTTGATTTTGAAGGCGAAAATGAAAGTGAAAGCGCAGTAATGCGACATAGCTTCAGGGTTTAGGGTATTGGAATTTTGTTTTGGTCTGCTTCCGGCACAACAAAACGGTTTGAGTCAACTTTTTCGACGCATAATGAACTCCAATCTCGTGTCTTGGGCGCCAGATTTACATATGCCGTAATTCCCATTAATTACTGCGTAATAATCAGGTAAATCCTGGTTATTTTCATAAATCTGTTGGTAAGATATCCATAGCCTATACTTTACTGGGTCTCTAAACGGTAAGTACATTCCTTGTGTGAAAGCCTTCTACTTCATCTAACGCTGGACTAACGTTTGGCTCTGAAGCTCTAAAGTAGCATTAGCACCTCCCATAAATAGTAATTGGAGGATGGTATCTATTAATAATGTATTTTATAAACGCCTCGCAGGTTCGATACTTGCTGCATTTGAATGGTTTTCTTGATGAATTTAAAAATCTGGCAAACGTCAATCCCTTATTTCTCAGAAATTAATCATCAGTCTGCTTTGGTCCGATGAGAAGCTGTTCAGGAAGGCGACACGTATATTGAATGTTTAGACAAATCGACTGGGACCCATTTTCATATGTTTTATGTGGGGTCCTTCATCCTTAAACGTTGATGATAGGGATAATATTATGTCGCTATATAAAACATATGTACTTTGTAGTATCTGAATACTACTGTGATAGCCAATGCTTATTCTTTTTATTTAAATTTATTGATGTATATTACATTTGTATAATAAATGATTTTCAACAGATTTTGGTAATATGTTTATCATATAATATCCACTATGACTGTACTGTAGTGGGAAGTTATGGAAGATTTTTTTATTACTGCGTGATATCGCGTCGTGTTATTTGTTAAAATAATCAGATTTAATCTACATTTGATAGGTGATGACTATACTGTAAAATATGCTGTCATTTTATTGTTTATACAATACATAAATTAAATCAAGATCACTCATAATAAAATGTCTCTGAAAAATACGCTACTTCAACAAACAATATTCCTTGACAGTTTGTGAAACTGCCGTGAAGAATATAATCACATTTCAATTTTGTTTTGTGATTCTTAACGAAGAAATTGGAAAATCAGTTAGAAACACGTTTTTAATTTGACTGTTTGTTAAGGACCATCTTCAAGCTTTCTTGTCTCTATTATGCCGGGTCCACACCAAACGAACAAAACAGCAACTCAATATTTTTCAACAATTAAGCAACATTTCGTGTTTTGTTTCTGTTTTTGGCAACTTTTGGCGTTCTCGTCGCAAGTCGGTACAGATCACAAGGTTTCTGTTTTGTTTTCATTTCAGGCAACATTGTCGGTACGATGTGTGTACTTAACAAAGTCGCAACAGCGAAACAAATATAAAACATAAACTAGAATCAAATTCGAAGGCACTATGTAGGGTGTTTAAAAATAAATGCGCAGTATGTTGGGTGAAGAATTAAAGTGGAGTGTAGATAACACGAGTATTTCAATTGAACTATATAGGGAGTATACTGTATCTTAGTTTTACGGCCAAACGTTCAGCTACTTTAATGGCATCTCTGAAATTGGTATTTTTTATATAGATTTAAGGACTGATCAGCTGTATTACTTCTTCAAAGTTTCCACTGGACAATCTTAAAAAGTTCTCGAAACTAGCACGCATTTCTCCTCGCAATCCAATATTACCTTTACGCAAATCGGACAATAATTTTTCAATACCACGATTTTCTCTTTGACGTTAGGATGGTTTCACCCAAAAGCGTTTTTTTATTTTTCCGGCCACAACTCTGGAGAAACATATAACCAGCAGACATTATGATAAAATCTTCGCGCTTATTTTCAGTCTGAAAATTTTTGGTGTGAACTGCACCAAACTAAACAACTGAAAACTTGTTTGTCTCTTGGCAATGTGGATAAGTTTTCATTTTGTTTTGATTCCAAAAGGTTGCATATTTGTTGCGTTTCCATTTTGTTCCTTGTTTTTGTTTTGTTGCTTTAATGTGGACCCGGCATTACAAATACTGTGCTTATGCATTGACAGTCAATCTGCATATTATTATATATTACAAATTATCCTACCTTAACAAAGTGTTTGTAGCATTTTAAGAGATTTTTTAACAATATAACAGAAAGATGCTATATACAAAAACTTCTATTTTAAAAGAATGTGAAGCTTTTTAAATATTATAAGTAGATGGTTTCAGAAGTATTTATACTATCAATTCATTCTCTATAAAAATCTTCATTCACTCAACTCAACTCTCCAAGATAAAATTATAAGCTAATGAAATTCAACATTTTGTGTCACCACTGTTAAGCATTTTTAGCATATTATCCACGACACATCTGCAAGGTAGGTGGCTTCTCAGGTATCTTTTTCAGATCCCACTCGTCACTCTCAAAGAACTTTATTTCTTCTACACTCAACTCTTCAAGCTTAGAATACAGGTCTTCATCAGCAGTTTCTGGTTGTGACTTAACAACTTGTGAAGACTGAGTACCTCCAAAGATACTCTGCGTATGAGACTGCACATTTATCGGTGAAGCCTGAGCACCTCCAAAAATGCTCTGTGTAGATTGTGACGACGCCTGAGAACTTCCAAAGATACTTTGTGTACCTTGTTGACCAAACACTGATGAGGTTGTAGACTCTTGTCCAAAAATTGGTTTTTGAGGTGACTGTCCAAAAATTGATGTTGAAGATGAAGTTTGTCCAAAACCAGACGATTGAGGTGATTGTCCAAAGATAGATGTTGAGGGTATTTGTCCAAATCTAGGTGTTGGAGATGTAAAACTAGGTGTTTGAAGAAAACTGGATGTAGAAGGTGCTTGTCCAAAAGCTGATGTAGTTGATGTTTGTCCAAAAGCAGATGCCCGAGTTGTTTGTGCAAAAGTGGATGTTGAAGATGTTTGTCCAAAGCTAGATGTTGAAGGTGACTGTCCAAAATTGGATGTTGGAGATGTTTTTCCAAAAGTGGATGTTTGAGTCGTTTGTCCAAAAGTAGGCGATTGAGTCGTTTGTCCGAAAATGGGTGATGAAGTTGTTTGTCCAAAACTAGATGTTTGAGGTGCTTGGCCAAAAGTGGATTGTTGTCCAAAACTGGGAGCTTGTCCAAAAGTTGGTTTTTGACCAAATGCACTACCACCAAATATACTTGGCTGTGCATGGCTTTGCATAGTCTGGAAGGCATTTGAAGTTTTCGAAGGTTCAGCCTGGTTTGCAGCAGTTTGGAAGAGACTGGTTGTAGTTTGTGATTGGGTAAAAATGCTAGGTTTAAGCTGATTTGCAGCAGTTTGGAAGGGATTACCAGAAGCTTGTGATGGAGAAAAGCTACTTTGAATCTGGCTTGATGCAGCTTGGAAAACATTTGGAGCTGTTGAAGTTCGTGGTTGAGAGAAGCTGCTAGTATTAGGAAAACTGCCAGTTTGAGACTGACCTGAACCAGTTTGGAACACACCGTTTGAATGTTGGGCTGCCAAAGTTTGAAACAAATTTGTAGAAGAGGGAGCTGCAGAACCTTCTTGCATACCTCCAAATAGATTCTGTGATTGGCCGGAAGTAGTAGCTGGAGTAGAACTACCAAAGCTACCAAATACATTAGTTTTTTGCGCTGAGGCACTTCCAAAGATTGAACCTCCTGGACTGGTTGCTGCTTGACCAAAAACACTGGCACCCGATTGGCCAAAGATGCTAGTTTGTCCAAAAGTAGGACCACCTCCAAAAACAGCCTTCTGACCAAAACCTCCTTGAGGTGTGGGAGCCTTGCCAAAAACACTTGTTTGTCCAAAGACACTAGTACCAGCTTGGGAGGGCCCTGCAGTGCTACCAAAAGCTTGAGTTGAAGGTGAGGCAGCACTGCTACTGCCAAAAATTGATGTAGTTGGGGATTTTGCTGTATTGGTACTACCAAAAATTGAAGCACCTGTAGACGATCCTGTGCCACTACTACTAAAAATATTGCTAGCAGGAGAAGATGGTGTATTGCTACTACCAAACATATTGGTAACTGTTGATTTTGCTGTATTGCTACTACCAAAAATACTGCTAGCTGGTGAATTTGCTGCACTGCCACTCCCAAAAATATTACTGGTCAAAGACGAGCCTGTATTGCTACCACCAAAAATACTACTAGCTGGGGATGATGCTGCATTGCTACTTCCAAAAATATTACTAGCAGGAGATGATACAGCTCCAATACTGCCAAAAATTTGAGAACTGGGCTGTTGAGTTGTAGCAGATGGAGCATTGTAAACATTGCTGATCATTTGCACTACATCTTGTGTTGGGGTTTGTAAAGCTTTTGCCTTCATTGCTGCATCTTGAAACATCATTTGAACTTGCTGTTTCTGGAACAAAGATGTAAGCATTTTTTACCAATCTTTCAAAGGATCAAAGCTCAGGTTGTATAGCTATATTCAGCATAAGCACCGAAATGATAACCATGATTGTCCACAAGTTGCAACTAGCTATATTCATACTATGTATGGGGTGCTTCACCATAAATTAGGCACCCTGCAATTTTTTTCTATAACCCTTAAGATGTTCTATATAAAAGCTACAAAATCTAGGTTTATTGTCCAATGTTTTTTCGTCTTTTGTATATCAGAAAAATCTCTGAAAGGTGCTACCAAATCTGGTATTCACCAGACACATATGATCAAATGACACACAAAAGCTTTTTGACTAAACTAATACATATAAGTATAAGCTATGTATTTGGAATAGCTTAACAATGGCTTTCATATCCACTAAAAACATACAAGATGTTTACAAAAATACAACTTTATTCAATAGTGTTTTTCTGAAACACAACTTACCCCACAAAGTTTAACCACATATGTGCACTGTTAAGAAAAAAGTAAATTTCTCAAAAAAAAAATATATATATATATAATAAAAGCCCTACAGAAATTAAGTTATAAACGTGAGTTTCAATAATAAATTGAAAAATAAATATCTGCATGTTGCGTTCTCGTTTGTATGCACACCGATTTCCGAATGGGCACATACCACATTACGAAACATTTAGTTGAATTGTTTTACGTGCACGTGCTGGTAGAGATTTGCGCCCCAGACGTGGAGTGGATGGGGTTCGGGTTCGTCCACAACGCGTTTTAAATGGCGATGACGAAATTTTAGATATTGTGGAATAACCACAAGGCAGCCCAACAGGTCCCAGAAGTGTCACATGCAACAGCGTGGCGCATATTTCATGAGGCCCAATTGTACCCTTATCACATCCAGAGAGTCCAGGCTTTAATACCTACAGACTACCCCCTAAGAGTAAGATTTTGTCAATGGTTGTTGCAAGAAAATGCTTGAAATGCCCATTTTACAGCTGATATTTCGGCTACCGATGAAGGTATTTTTACTCATAATGCCAGATCGGATGGATGGTCACCAGTATTTGGAATTTCTTCGGAATGATTTGCCGGTACTTCTTGAAGATGTGCCATTGGCGGTAAGAGCTTGGATGTGGTTTCAATGGGGAGAGTCAATGAAAACAATTTTGAACAGCTTTTATAAGTGAACTGTTAAACTGTATTATTTTATTATCTCGACTTCTGTAGGACTTATATTACTTTTTTTTTTTTGAGAAATCAACTTCTTAACAGTGCATATGTGGTTAAAATTTGTCAGATAAGTTGTGAAACACCCTGTATACAAAAAAGATAATGCCTGAAACACTGTATTAGACCTTATAACTTTTATATAAAAGTTTTTTCTCAAAATGGCCTTTCATAAAATTAAAGGGGATCAATTTGAATAACAAAATACTGTTAAAACAGTCTTAGACCTTTGTAGGTTTATAAAATGTAGTAACCTGAGAAATGGACGAATGATAAATCATATAAATACAATCATACTTTCAACAACAAATATCTTATTTCCACCACTTACATATTGATCCAATGTACCATTCTTCTGGGCATTGTAGAACCCCCAACGGATTTCTTCAAAGCTATGGTCCTCAAATCCAGGAAATGTGACTTTGTTTTTGAAGGGGGCATAAGAAGAAAGCAGCCATTGCCCACCCTTTTCAATGCTAATCATGTCATTTACCACAGCTTGGACCAATGTATTTTGATCAACTTGTTTTTCTTGAATTGGCGACTGGGCTGCCATACCTGGCTGAGAATGTTGAGGTGGCGAGAAGTGTGCCTGACGCAGGATAGAGGATGACTTCGGTGCATTGTAATCTGAAAATCCGGAAGGTTAACGTATAAGATATGAACAAGGATGTGCCTGTCTTACCGCTAGTGATTTGATGGTCGAATTTGCAATCATCGCCAAACTTGCAGTAGCCTTGTAAAAAGAACTTACAAACTACCATTTCCAACTTTTGGTTAATAAGGTAACATACTCTCTAAAAACATAGATGAACGGTGGAATCAAAATCACAACATAAATCAAAAATCAAACCAATTTTATGGGGTTAAGATTTTGGCTGTCAAAGTGTCAAGCTGTCATTGCAACACGAGTACGCTGTGACCAAACACTCGATGTATATCGACTCGCTGTGTCTGAGCGCTGTTGCCAGTTGAGTCTCTTAAAGTCATTTTTGTACTGTTCATGACTTAATGGAATGTTTAACGTAATTGTACTGAAGAAAGTCACCGTTGTGACCGAAATGTGTACAATAAAGATTTTTTTCAGCACACGTTTCAATTGGCCAGAAAAATATTGAGCACTATAGAGATAGCCACTCCACTGCTTAAGCGAAATTATACCTAGACCCGACAAAAATCTGTTTTATATCGTCTAGGCCTAGACCATATCAATGAAATAGCTTTGATCTCTTATTTCTGCACCACCTCTTTTATACACGTTGGTTATGTATGACCCTCTATACTTAACTTCATCAACAATGCCGTTCCAATTTTTTGATTGCCGATTATCTTTATCAGTTAAGATATATCCCCGTATTTGACTGTTAGCTAAATGGCATATTAAGTACAAATCTTCAAATCTATCTATCTATCTAAATAAGTAGTTTTAGTGTTAAGGTGTAGAAATATAAAGAGAAATATGGAAAGTTTCCGCAATTATTAAAAGCAGGTAATATTTCTTTTGATGTTTTAATAGTCTATTTTTAACAGCAAAATAATTTTAAGATTGCCATCTGTGATGTGTTACGTACTAATTAGTAATAACCACAGCAGGTTTTTACGAGAATTCTTGGAACATGGTATGAGTAATCGACCGAATTGAACATTTTGAATGAACGGCAAGTCCATCATTGCGGTGTTGCCGAATTTTCGTTATCGGTATCTTTGGTAGGTTTACCAAAAAATATGAGGTTCTCACTAAAACGTTTCGCACTGACAAACCACGGGCTGAGCTGTCAGCGCTGACGTCTGACACTAAAACCAGCCTAAACAGCCGATTTTTATCGAAAATTTCAACTTTGAACTTCCGGCTCAAAAGGCGTGATGGATTTTGACATATGAGGTTTCTCTAGTTTTGCCTACTGAGTGCGAGTGATACTGGGTATACTAAACTTTATAAAAGCAAAATGGCGGATTTTAATTAGAAATATCAACCTTAAAATTCCTATTTTACGGGCTACAGCTTAATATATTTTGACATAAGAGGTGTCATTAGATTTGCTTGACAGTGCGAGTAGCACTGGGTATAGTAAAAGTTTATAAAACCAAAATGTGCGAGTTTTTAAACGCAAACTTCAACTTTGAGATTGCTATTTCACGGGCTACACAATTGTTTCTTCATTCTTTTCAGTTACTGCAGTCGGATTATTTGTATGTTTTAAAAATGTGCATGTCTATTTCGTTATAGGTCTGAGCACCTGGTAATTTTCGCGGATGTTATAAATAAATTGCCCAACAGTTAAGGAAACCATTTACAGGACAATCCTAAGATAAATCAAACTAACAAAAATAGAAAACATACAAAAAGCAGGTGGTTTCATCTAAAGAAAAAACGAAGCAAAAAACATATTTCACTCAAGTGAGAAGCATATCATAAATTATTCAAGTATGTAATTTCTATCTACTCCCAGAATACTGTTCAAACTGTCAGTATGTACAGCTCGTCAAGTGTAGGAAGAGATGCGAATTTTTTTAATAATGTCACGCCTTCTCGGTGCGCAGTAGCTAGCTCTAGCAGCTCAATTCGCCTGGCGAAACAGTATACTCTCTTGTCGTGTCTAGACTAGTTAGCGTAAAGTCAGGAGAAAAAATGTCAGGCAGGGAAACAACTTTATTCATAATTATCTGTGAATTGTATGTATGGTTACGAATTCGTGGGCTGAATACATACAATTTTACGCTATCAATTGTCACCATTTATTTTGTGTGTTAATAGATTTACTCGTTTATATTAAATCCAAATAAATATTAAATCCATAGTTTTATCAGGAGGTTGTAGCAGATGTTATATTCTTTATGCAACGAGAAGCAGAATGAAATAAACCTCTTAAAGATTTGAAGAAAGTTCAGGAGCGTGCAGCCATGGCCACAGGAGTTAGTCTATCGACTATTAGGAAACAGTTGGAGCGATAATACCAATGAGGGCCTTCACAGGCCAGTTTCAAAAGGACAAAGATTTATTAGTGTGCATGCTGGTAGTGAAAATGGTTTCGTGGAAAATGCATATCTGAGATTTAAATCCAATAGTAAGTCGGGTGATTGTCGTAGTGAGATGAACAAAGTAACTATGAAAAATGGCTTCAGGATAAACTGATTCCCAGTCGACCACCAAATATTGTTTTGGTTATAGACAACGCTCCGTACTACAATGTTCAGATAGACAAATGTCCTACTATGTGCTCTAAAAAGGATCATATGAAAGAATGACTAAGGCAAAAAAACATACATTTCACTGGCAACATGTTGGAAATTGATTTATATGGCCTTATCAAAATGCGCAAGTCGGCATATATAACTTATGAAATACACAGAGTAATGGCTGAAAAAGGCCATTCTGTTTTGAGATTGCCACCATACACCCCGAGTTGAACCCAATTGAGTTGGTATGGGCATCTTTGAAACAATATGTGGCTGAGAAAAATGTAGATTTTAATCTCAAGACGGTCTACAAACTTTCTCTCGTCTTATCCCGCAGAAGAATGGAAAAATATTTAAGTTTAAGTAGTAGCTCAGATTCCGATTCCGAACTTTCAGGATTTGACCCTCTGTGAAACTTCATAAATCTTTAAAATATTGCTAACTGTATCTACTACGATGTTAGTTTTCTGACATTACTTTTCATTTGATTGTTTATTAATTGAAATTATTCACAATTAAAAATAGAATGAGTACCAATCAACTTCAATCCTATAGCTACATAGCGCGCAATACTTATGGTATTGAATAAATTGTTTTTATTTCCTTATTTCTATGTTTATCTCATTCATATAAATAATCACATAAATCCTTTTAACCTTTCTTCGGTAGCGAACAAGTGTCGAAACATGAAATTTCTGTAAAACTAATGTATTTGCAATTTTTGAAACATTGAAAAAGTAGTATATAATACTTTTTTTAGATATATACATTTTTTTAAATGAGTCTGGTAGACGTACAATTGTATTTTAAGATATCCTAATGATATACGTAGTCGTGCCATAAGTTCTGTCCCATGATAATCTCATGATAAAAATGAAACAAGATAAGATATATTTATATGAAAGATATTATTTATTCGACAACATTTTTAGAATTCATAATCAAACAGTTTTATTCAAAATGTCCCCCCTTGGCCTTCACACACTGCTTCAATCTCGCGGGCCACTCATCTATCACTGCACGCACAGCTTCCAAAGGAATAGCTGCCGCTGATCGGATCAAATCCGCTTTCAGGGACTCGATATTACGGTGGGCTTTGGAGCAGGCCAACTGCTCTAGCAGGTCCCACAACTTGTAGTCTAAAGGATTGAGGTCCGGACTCCCTGAGGGCCAATCTTCCGCAGCAATGAACTCTGGCACATTGCTTTCCAGCCAGCGCTGCGTACTCTTAGCCTTGTGAGCGGGGGCGGAATCCTGCTGGTAGACCCAGTGTTGGTTGGCAAACAATGTACCACTTAAAGGCTTGACGATAGGATCCAGTATGTCGCTTCTTGGCCTGTCATCAACAGAGGACGTCTCATTGTACCGCTGAATGGTCCTAGACACAAATTTACGCGATATTTGAAGGCCGCGTAAGAGTTCAAAAATCTGACTAGCACTGTGATTACACTTATGTAAAGCTATCACTGCAATACGGTTCTCTGCCTTGCCCCACTCCATCGTTATGCTTCGAGAGATCAATACAAACTGAGGTATATGTAATTACCCGAAAAGCGCTTAATCAACTGACACCACAATGTAAACAATCGGACAAGTATTAACAGGTCTACACTTGTTTGAAAACGAGGGACAGAACTTATGGCATGACTACGTAGATTCGTTAATTGTATATTATATACTCTCAAACTCAATTTTATAATGCACTTAAACTCAACCCATTGAACAAATTTTCTCTAAGAGTTATCGAGCCACATGAAATACTACAGGCAATAGATAGCTTAAGATCGAGTGCTCGTGGAATTGATGATCTAACATCTGACGCTGATAATGATAGAACTTATAGTCGAAATCGGGAAAGATGACGATTACGTCATCATTTTAGTCTGTAGTAAAGACAAACGACAGCGATTTGTGAATATCTTTAATGAAGTTTCAGATATGCCAGACATAGACAAACAGAATTTTATTGTCTAAACAAACTGTATGTATGTATCCGACAAAGATACACGATGTTTTCATGTTGCATGATCGATCATATTTAAAGATGAATAGTTAGGTTATGTTAAAGCAGGTTATGTAGTTGTCGAATAATACTTTGGTATTTGGTGTTGCTGTGTTAAGGTATTCTTATCATAACTGTATTTTTCAAAACAAAAACTCCGCATTAAGATTATTATAACCCAAAACCATGAAATAAAATGAAAACAAAAATAATCAGTGTAATAACCTAAATTCCCAAATCATAACATAAATTTATTGTCATTAATCCTGATATCGTGATTTTATCATCGACGTACCTCCAATGATTACTTCAGTACAATTTATGGTATGACGTAATAGTCATCTTTCGTGATTCTGACTATAGTCGTTAATGAAGTTACCAAATTTAGAATATTGGGCTCACAAAAAGATATTTAAAAATTCGACACTCATGTCAACAATTTCAGTTTAAAAAAAGCAGGCTTCACATAATGCGTATTCCATTATTGAAATTATTCGATTGATTTAGGACTCAGACTGTGCCACTCGAGATCGAATGGCACGTATTGTACGTGCCATCTCTTTTGCTCCGAATGCGTTCTCCCTCTCTCGTGTGCGCAATCCCACCAAATCCTTATATCTTTTCATACACTTGACGAGCTATATATCACAATAATTTGATGTGGCAATCAAAGTTTCACACATTACATAATGGGTGCTATCAAAAATAAATTTGTCCGAGCCATGTCACAATAATAATGAGGTTTTAGCGGTAGGAGTTTGAATAGATGGGACATCAAAGTTTAGTTGAGCCACAATCTCGTTTGCATCAATTTTATTGTGCATGCAAGAACAGAATTGACGCACACTTACTTCTCAGCTCTAAAGAATGCATTTGAAACCTAGACAATAACAAACTTCCAGATATACCCTGCTCAATATATGCACCGTCAACTTTGAAAGATAAAAATTTTAGAAACTCTCTCTCAACATGCTCAAAAGAATAAATGTAGCAGTTGTAAATTGAGTTCCAAATTAAGGATGCATATTCCAATGTCGATCTTATATATGCAGAACACAAAACCAACAGTGACTCTGGACGGCTGAAGCTTCTGCAGTTTCTCACAATAAAACCGTACGCCAGCGAAGCTTCACTTATCTTTTGAGTTATGTGGGGTGAAAAATTATGATAAAGTGAAAAACCACACCTAAATCCTTAATTGAGTTATAACGATTTATATGATCTTCATATGCATTGCCAGTACTGTAAGGATCTTTTAGTGAGACGTCGTTCAACTTCATGTTACTAGGAATTCCCAACACGCCGTTTTTCTGTATGCATGAAACTCCAAAAATTTTTAGGATCTTGAATGATTGAAATCTCAACATTTGTGTATAATTTTTATAGGCCACAGATATTTGACGCTTTACCTCAGATCTAAAAGGCGTTTGTGCTATTCATGTAGATGGTTATTGGCACTCTTTTTGTAATTCTTGTATAACTTTGCTTTATGCTTGATAATAATTACACTGGTGTACCACGAAGGGTACTTACGACTAAAAGATTTATAATTGGGTATGTAAATATGAAAGATACAGTCTAAAAATAGACAACATTTGAAAAGTTATCTAAAAAAGAAAAGTCTACAATGAGGAGCGCATTATACTTTTCGGACATTATACATGTTAATATCGCTAAATAAGGGAAATGCGTCAGGGTTAACATCAATATTTTCAACATATATCAAGAGCTGGGTGATGGGGGATATCTTCAGGTACCAGTAGCAAAGTATCACTAGAAACAGAACAAGTTTCATTTGATAGTATTAAATCTAACAGCCTCTCATTATCATTTAAAACATTATTGCATTGTTTAACGTTCAACATAATTAGCAAATTTATTATATAGCATATTTCTTACGGTCGAAACTACCCACAAAGTTAAAATTTGAAACATTATTGAAGTCATCTATCAGTATGATGCTACCTAGTCATTAGTTATAGTATGAGGAATGTAGATTACATTCACAGCCACATAAAAGTTTATCTGACCTATCCAACGTCTACAAACTAATATATCAATGAGAGGAAAGCTAACATCTAGAAATGACACATCTACTACTTCCGCTTTAATGTGATTCTTCTATCTAATATAACACCACCGCCATTTTGCTCGCTAATGATATCACATTTCCTATCCTTTCTGAAAACAACAAAAGAGTCCGTAGGAAATAGTTCACTGATCATCACATCCGATTAGAATCAGTTAAAGCAATAATGTCAAATTCAGCATCACTAACAGATGAAACAAAAACATGAATTATGCTGCACGTACATTCTGATAATAACAGCGAACGCTGTTCTTCTTTCAAAAATAATTTTAGGAATCCCGTTCACATGTTTAATTTTTATGTTAGACTCGCCAGAATCAAGTCTTTCCTTTAACTCATCCTTAAACTTTTTATAACAAGCAAGCTGCTTAGGAATGCGATCACATTAAAGGAAAACTTTATTCTTAAAACGGGAGTATTTGAAATTCTTTGATTTCTTGATCACTTCGGATACACATTGCTCGTGGAGAGTGTTACCTTAATAGGGCGACATTTGCTTTCAGTTAGTTTCCCAAGCGAAAAGGTGTAATCAGAGGCCCATCATCAACGTTCGGATCAACAACAGGTAATATTTTCATCTTTATGAAAACGAAAAAAAAAAAAGAAATGCGCCACTCGTTGTTTATTAAGAAACGGCTTCCTTATTAGGGATATTTTACTTCTCAGACGTAAGCCAGGGGAAACATGCCCCGCTTGACATCTCTTATGGGCGCCCATGCCCTGTCGCAAATTTTTACACCAAAAATAAACGAGGCTTAAGCTGTTTTATTTTTTTGTTTTTACCTGTAGCTCCGCCACCGCTGGATCAATTTTCAAAACCTAGCTTTTTCGTCCTTAGTATAAATATAACATTGTATGAAAATTTCATCAAAATTCGAGCGGTACTTTCAAAGTTATAGAAGGACCAAGAATCAGCAGATAGACCGACAGACAGATCAATGGAAATGAATGGAATTGTTTTTCGTGATATATACGAGCCCCTTCCCACTTCAGTTGGCCCACTTCAAGATTTGTACCAAAATATGCCTTTATAAACTAAACATGACGAAACTACTTACTTCTAAAACAATTTAGTTTCTCAAAAACATTTTAGATACACAAAACGTTTTAGATACACTCTAGTCGTAAAAAATACATATTTGAAACTATATAACTAAATATAACTAATAGAACATCTGAACAAATAAACATTGTGCGAATAAATGCGCGAAGTTAGCAAAGCAACAATTGAAAGATTACCATTGGGTAACATCACCTTTATTTTTTATTACGGCTGAAATTCTTTGGGGCATAGTGTTAACCAAGTTTTGGCAAAAATTTGGTGTAAAACAATCCCATATTTCTTGAAGCTTTTGTCTCAGTTCGGTGATTGTACGAGCAGGATGTTGTCGTAGAACCTTTTTCATCTCGTGCCAGAAAGTTTCAATAGGTGACAGATCTGGACTGCTAGAAATCCATTTCAAAAGTGGTACATTATTTTCTTCGATCCATTTTATACCTCTTTTGAGGTATGGCACGCTGCACCATCTTGCTGAAACACAAAATCTTGGCCGGATGTCAAACATTCTTCCATCACTGGTAAAAGCGATTCTTCTAAAATTGCCAAATATTTGTTTGTATCCACATTTCCATCAATAAAATGAAGTTTTCCTACTCCTTTTGATGACATACTGCCCCAGACCATAATGGATGCTGGAAATTTCACTTTTCTCTTCAGACAGTCAACATGGAATACTTCATTTTTTTGTGAATAACTCTACTGCGACTGTCACCAACACAAACTTCGAATCGGGCCTCATCACTCCATTGTATTGCACACCATTGTTGAGGTGTCCATTGTCTATGTTCTTTAGCCCATCTAAGCCGATTTTTCTTTTGCAGTGGAGTTAATAGTGGCTTTTCTTTGGCCTATAAACAAGTTGTGAATTTTAGGGTTTTTACTTCACTTTTTTTATAAGAAAACTTACCTTGCAAGTGCTAAATCCCAGTTTGTAGGCCCCTCTATGAGTTGTGGACGATTATTCTTCTTAATGCTCTTCGGTTGGCATTTGAGATATTACTTTTTTTCACATATCGTGGCATAATATTAACTGAACCAGTTACGTTATGTCTTCTAACAATATTTCTCACACTGTACCGCGATAAGTCTAACCAAGTTGCAATTTCTGAGTTTGATTTCCCAGAATTAAAAAATTTAATTTTCAGTAACGAATTTTCTCACTAATAACCTTTCCTCTACCCATTTTGAAAACCTTAACTACCCAAAACTATTTTAAACGTATTCTGACAGCTGTGATTAATAAAAACAACTATCATGGCTTTTATTTTTCACAGCCATAGACTTATTTTGCATTGAAATGAAAATGGGTTGATATGCTGTAATTGCAACATGTGTTATTTTTATGCTGCAAATTTGATTAGGGAGTGATAAAGTTGGTGTTTTCTACTATATATTATCAAAATATTCATTGTTAATATTTTAAACTTATAACACCCTGCTACATTTTTATTATTTGTGTTTGATAAGAAAAAAACTAAGATTTCAATAGTTGGGCCAACTGAAGTGGAAAGGGGCTCGTACGTCATGTAACTCAAAAAAAATATATCATATTGCGTGTCACATATCGGATATTCCTTTTTATACTATCTGCCTAAAAAGAATAAACTTGGCAACAAGCGCTAACCTCTTTCTACTCACATCATCTGTGCGTCATCCTGTCTTGTCATTGCAAACAGAGACAGACGCAATTCTTCCGCTCATTGGAGCGACAAAGACAACTATAGCGAAAATCCCGGGCGCTTGCGTCTTGACGTGACAACAAGAAGGACTTTTACTGGTTTGTTTATCTTGTGCAAAATTTCAATAAAGCCTAAGCACGGTGGCCTCCCAAGAATTCACAATTATCTGTAATCTAACTGAATGTTTTCTTGTTTCGCCGACCAAGAGGACTACGGCAAAGGTGGGCCCAGTTCAGTAGAAACCCAAATTGCATGTGATCCTTATCTCTAAGGTAGTGCGTAGACGTACGACATATCCCCGCTCCTAAAGTCTCCTTTCCGTTCTGTGTCCGCCATATTGAAAAGTACAGTGGCGAAATAGGCGTTAACTGTTGTGTGATTGTTGTTAGGTCCGATGGCCGCAATCAGGAAGAAATTGGTGATAGTCGGCGACGGGGCCTGCGGGAAAACATGCCTGTTGATCGTCTTCAGCAAGGATCAGTTTCCTGAGGTGTATGTACCCACTGTATTCGAGAATTATGTGGCGGACATTGAAGTAGATGGTAAGCAACTGGTGATTTCCAGCACTCTTTTTGACTTCTCATATTCATCTCACAAACATATAAAGTATGTTTTGCTACAAGATTTTATATAATAACTGCTTATATATCAAAAAAATATATATTTCTGATCGCTACCTACTGAATAATCTAAAGGAATATGTCTCATATTTTATCATTAATTTGGAATTATTGTCTGGTCGTAAAAAAACGTTATTTTTATGATATTTTGCTAACTTGATGACCCACTTAAGTGATTCTACCAATCCTCTCTGTTTTCAAATGCTGACTAATCTTTTAATAATGAAAATATATATATATATATATATATATATTGCCATATACAGGGTGTTTCCTATTCAATGTCACTAAAGTGGCGATTATTGAGTCAATTTTGGGAAGACAACTCCACAAGAATGCATGACTAAACATCTTTACTTTTGAGGTACAGGGTGGTAAAGTATTCAAAAATAAATAATTATTCATTTTTGATATCTGTAAATACCACTATAGATATTTAATTGGTAACTGGCATCAAGAGGATTTTTTTCATGCACCACTTTTTTTAATTTCCACTACCTCAAAACTTATGATGTGTAGGACATTCATTCATATGGAATTTTTTCAAAAAGTGCAAAAAATTGTCTCTGTAAAGCAGGTTATTGCCTTTAGATTAGTCATCCTTTGACATTTCATCAGGTGATGTACTTAGCACATCTTTATGTTCAGGTCTCAACCTAGCTATCATATTATCTTTTAACTAGATTGAACATGGACCCTTGCTTATACTTCTAAGTTATAAGAGAGTTTCTACTTCTGAAGACCATAAGCAACTGGTATATCTCCAAATTATTATTACTAGCATTTTTTTATTAGTTTAATGAATATGCATTCTTCCCCCATTTTACTAATCTTGTATTACTTATCTTTCCAAGATCACAATGATGAGGTTGAACTTGGAACACCAGATATATTGTGATCTATATCAAACTACTGTTTATTATACAGCCTTTCATTTTTAAAGCACATATATATATATTGAAGCTGTAATATATCTTTTCCCTAATATTTGTCATGTTGTTTTTTGTTTTTAGCTAATGCTAAATTCATCAGTACCTTTTGAGTCTAAGTCAAGTAAACATAGCCAAATAAGATGTGTTTCAATTTCTAAACTATATGAAGTTTCCAGATATCATTTAGATTCTAAGACCTTACTTAAGACAGTATCTAAAATTGTAATCTACTTTTGAAATTGGATTGGTTTATACATCGTATGAAATTCTGCATCTTGAAATAATCTGTAATCTTATGACATATGCAGTAAAGATCCATAGGATTTATATGTTTTTGTTTATAGGTAAACAAGTTGAACTAGCCTTATGGGATACAGCAGGTCAAGAGGACTATGATCGTCTGAGGCCACTGTCATATCCAGACACTGATGTTATTTTGATGTGCTTTTCTGTAGATTCTCCTGATTCGCTGGAGAATATACCTGAGAAATGGACACCAGAAGTAAAGCATTTCTGCCCCAATGTGCCAATCATCCTAGTGGGAAATAAAAAGGATCTAAGAAATGATCCTGCCACCATTAGGTAAAAAATTACATACTAAATATATTAAAATGTCAACTCAGGATACAAGAGGATCATTTTTTAAGCATGAACCATTTTGTAATGAAGTCAGAGATACTTTATGGATATAAATTGTAGCACAAACTAAAATATGAACATTTTTCAACATAGTCACAATAAACATTTAGGTCATCTCATCAGGTTTTGGTTCCTGTCATCAAACAGTGCTGCTGCCTGAGCATTGCACTAGTTAGTAACTGTTTCTATTATCATGTTGTCATCTTCCAAGCATTTTCCACCAAGAAATTCCTTAAGATTTGGGAAGAGATGAGAGTCTGATGGTGCTAAGTCAGTTCTGTATGGTGGATGATCCAGTAATTTCCAACAGAACTCATTCAGTTGCATCTGTGTTCTTTCTGCAGCTTGAGGCTGAGCATTGTCATGAAGCAGAATGATGCTGCTAGAGAGCATGCGTAGCACACACTTCACAATAGTTGGGTTTACTGATTGACATCGTTAAAAAATGACCCCCTCATATTGCTTCCCTGGACAAGTATTGAAGTCATAGAAAATATAAAAAATGAGATATATTTTTTGATGTGTATCACGAAAAACTATGTCACACTTAATTCCATTGGTCTGTCTGTCTGCTGAACCTTGGCACACTGTATAACCTAAAAGAAATTTTGATGAAAGTTACTACTATGCCACAGAATAAGCTTTATAGATTTTAAACCACATTTTTGACATTTCAGACTTCCACTCACTTTCAGACTTTCTTCTGGAAGGGATGAAATCTTGGGGTTGCAGGTTGTAAATGTTTCACCTTTGGTATCAGTGGAAAACATGCTATTAAGAAATTTCTGATCTCTATAATATTATGTATCTGTTAAACAAAATAGTTCCACATTTTCCATGCATTTGCCATTATTGATACAGGATTATGATTTTTTTTCATATTCACAAATGTGGAGATACATGCAAAAATTCTTTTTGAAAGAACATGTTACACTTCAAATCCATTTTAGACTTTTGAATAGTCTTGACCCATGCTGTTTTATATATGTGTGCAATGTTACCTTGTTTTCTAAGAGCAGCGAATTTGTTTCACTTTCATTTTAGTAGCTTCTACAACAGATTGCTCTACATTATTTAAACAACAATGAAAAAAACATGGAAATTATATTTTATTTGCTAGAAATTTGTTTTTTTAATAATATACAGGTTGTGTATTCAATGATTACTTAGTGCGAAGTCTAACAAACGAGAAAAGCGGCAAAGCACGATATCGAGCACGCTGCTGCAGCTCGGTCACCACTGGCGGTCGAGTGTGGGCGGTTCTCCTGAGAAGGAGGCAGTGTTGCCTTTCTTTAGTGTAATGTGTAATCTTCCATAATATATATGTATATATTTTTTTTTTGAGACGTGGTCATTGTCGTCTAGACCAGTTAGGTGAAAATTAAAGCTACACATCTCTCCAAATTTTGACTCTTCACAACCATAAATGGAATCTGCTTTTTGGTCTATTCCACCAAAAAATCCATTCGATTCAAATTTTAATAATTGTTTTCTCATAATTAAATAATAACTGTTAATTCAATTGCCCATCTCATAATAATATAGTTAATTCAACTGCCTCTGGTCAGGTTGACAAGTTCTTACCCAACATATCTTGAAAATCATACCATCTGAAGTGATTTGGCAACGTAGCACACGCCATACAAAAGAATTTTCGTTCCATCATTCTACAGGGACATTGCTAACCTTCGGCCATCTGTCAAAAGGTTCATCTTACTCATGATTCTACGCCCACCGTTTTGTGCAATCATCAAGTGGCTTCACGATGTAATGCTTAACTTTCGTTTTAAATATTTTTAATCTGTTTTTAATTTGTTCTTGTCATACAGCTGTGTGTAGTTTGTATAATTTTGACCATTGTACCATGTATCCAGCTTTCACCATGTTACTGGGTGTTTCCCTCATCCTTAACGTAAATAACATTTAGCAACATCCTCACACACTACTGTAAGTTAATTTAAATTCATTTTACATAATTGTTGCTACTTTTATCAATGTAATTTCAGCTCCTGATGATGATGGCAAAGACCATTGAAAGCTAGAGAGATTAAAAAAGTATAGAGTCCTTGCTTAAATTTTGTCGAAGTACCCAACAAAAGGTGGAAGCTTTAATTTTCACCTATATATATATATATATATATATAGCACTAGGCTTGGAACTGAGCTGAACACGATATGATTATATTGACAGAATTGCATGGGAAGTAGACAATCTGCTTGATGCCATTCTCAACCCCAGACACATTAACCTCTGGGGTTTAAAATTAGGTGGTTATAAGTTTAATATGTGTATCTCTGTATCTGTGGCATTGGAATACACCTGAACAGTGTATTACATGAAAGGGTTTGATTTGTTGGGGTTGTTTTAGTCTAGCAACTCACTTGTTTCCAGTGAGCTGAAGAAAATGAAACAGGAGCCTGTGAAGCCACAGGATGGCCGAGCGATGGCAGAAAAAATTAACGCATTCGCGTATTTGGAATGCTCCGCAAAGAGCAAAGAGGGCGTGAGAGAAGTGTTTGAAAATGCCACCAGGGCGGCATTGCAGGTCAAAAAGAAGAAGAAGCCACGTTGCGTCATGTTTTGAGTAAGATCCACCGCTGTTGGTTACAAAAAGTGGTTGGTGTTCATACGCGTGGTGTGTCTAATACTATTTTCATTTTTCAAACGACAAGTTAAGAAAGGGGTGACCGCTGCTTTCATTGTGTATCGACTAACAAATAAATACCCCTTATTTTCTCTTTAGTTCTGTTTTCTGTTCTCAAAGATCCTATCTATCCTGACTATGGTATATACATATAGATACTGTGGACTTGCTATTCTTTTTAGGTTATATTTCTTATATATAGTGGATTGTGCTTGATGCTAAAACAGTGCTCTTGGGCTGAAGTCAGGCTACATATTGTTTACAACGATATGTCTGTAGTTACTCTTAGAATGGTAGCTTAGGGATCTTTTCTATTCCAAATAGATATGAGACAACTGCATCCCATAAAAACGATCATCCATTTTGGATTCTCCCCCTTCTTTTTTTTTGCTGTCTTCGAGTAAAAACGTTTTTTGAGAAGTAATTATAATGCAACAAATGTCATGAAATAGTCCACCTTGTCTGAAAAGCGACTCATTCGATTCTCTTCAAAAATAAATTTCTTATCATCCAGAATGGCCATTTACAGTGGGCTTGATTAGAGCTGCCTGGCAAGATCATATTATTAATTTGTTTTGATGGCTGTCTGACAGTCTCTGATAGTCAGAAATTGCTTGTTGGAAATAAATTATTTGCAAATATGTATTTTGAAATTTAAAGTTCAGTTGTCAGACTGAAAAAATACAGCTTTAACTGCCATTCATTATATATCTAGGTGCTTTTACCTATGGAGATAACAGCTAATTTTCATTGATTGATTATACTCAGTAATGTTGATTTCTCAGGTTATTAGATGAAACGCATTTTTATCCATAGACAACAACAAAAAATTGAATAGTCTAAAACTCCATACAAGTGTGTATCATCATTTACAATGGGGATTTTACAATGAGGATTATCATTATGTATTAATATGAGAGATTGAGCAAGTGTCTTCAGAATCCATCTGTGAAGTTTTGGAAATTCGTGATGTAAAAATAAATAAGGAGGTCTAGATGTCATATAACTAAATCTACTGTTTTTCATCTTCTAGTGGTAAATTTATCCGTGGACTGGTACTTAAGCTTATAAGCAATATAGGAACAGAACTGAGAATGTTAGCAAGAGTGCCTTTAATATCCACTCCATTTGAAGTGGTGTGAAATTATTTCTTGCCCAAGGAAAAATGCGGCAAATGATCATTGAAATAACAAAAATTTCACCAAATTAGGCGTGTATTGATTTAACATCTGCCACATTATCATTTTGGACAAGTAGTAGACATTAAATTAAAATATTGTTGATATAGTGCTTCCAAAGTTAGCTTTTCTTCGTTTTCCACCTTAATAAAACATGGTTGCATTATTGTAGCGCATAAGGGACTGTCTCTGATTTTTGAAATTGCATAATAAGTGAGGCAGTCTTCCACGCTTGGCACTTCAAGGTATTTGGTCACTACGCCATATCATACTAGAATCGTTTTCAGCACAGCACCTAGAGGGTTAATCGCGTTTTGTACTAGTGAGCTCCGCATGCGAGGATAGGGTGTAAAGTTCTAGACTGAAAATGAAAGCGGATTCATTTTTTTATCCATAATATGGCGTTTAGTGGTGGGCTCATCTCTCATGATGCCCCAGTTCTTGCAAGATGTTTCACATCATTTCTTCCGATATCCCCATGATATCAATTGTCTTACTAACCTTATCATGCCTATCATCCTCAATATCGAGGAGCTTCTCAATGGTTTCAAGTGTTGAGGTTTTTGGCCGTCATTTATGTGATTCTTTGTGACAACATTTAAATTTACCTGGCTACTTCTTAACAGTTGAAATTGAAGGAGCAGAGCTCCCATAGGCTTTTGTGAACTTTGGAAGAATTTCTTTAGGATTTGATCCATCCAACTTGAGCAATCTGAGAGCACGAAATTCGCGTTTATCCATCTTAACGAAAACCGACGTGCGCTTCAAAAATTCTTGTAATCGAATAGTCTGAAAGAACAAGTTGAAACTCATCATACAAACAAATGATAAGTGCACCCATGCAAGAATCATAAATTTTACCTGATTGAAGTGCCATTTCTCAGTCAGGTTGAGAACTATATTATGTTCATGACATGATCCTAGTATGATACTATATAGTGTGCAAATACTTTTATCCACCATTTTGTGACTACTTGATAATTGTTTCTCATGTAAGGTGATACTACCTATAAACCTTGGGTGTTGGTGAAATAAAGTTTTCTTTTTTTGTATAGAGCTGTTTCTACTTAAATCAAAATGTATAGATAAATATTGACATTTAATTGTTGAAAAGTTGAATAATTTGATAGTCTACTTCTTCCTGAGAGTGCCAGCATTAAATGTCAACATGCACAAATATTATCCTGACGTCCACCTAACAGGTCGTTGTTTTCAGAATATCCTAGTATTTCCTGATGTATTATTGGAACAAAGAGAAAAAAATACTGATTATGATGCGTGAAAAATATATGATTTTTTAGATCAGACGAAAATCTTACATACTCGTACGTGGTACATTTTCGGTTTCGATTTTTTTTTTCATAGACACTTTTTGTGGATCCCCCTTAACATGAATGGGGGGATCAAACCTACCACTGCAAGCCTCGAAGAGCAATTTGAGCTTTGTTTATTATATTCAAGGCCGCGCGCATGAGTTATATTTACAAATAACAATGCTTTAAAATAAACTAACCCCAAATACTTTTTCTGGTCTTAGGAAGGTTTGGCCTTAAATTTAGACACTTAAAACCTCAAAACTGATGTATTTCCGCGTTTTCCTGCATTTAAAATCGCCATTTTTCGCAGTCACCTTTGTAGGGGAGTATGATCCAAAAAATGATTGTCCAGAACGAAAAAATTATTTTTACAATTTGCTTGAACAAATGATTAATAGAAATTTGCACGGGTTGACCGCCGGGCAACATCATGATTCGTGTTAAGGGGCATCCAACAAATGTGATTATGAGAAAAAAATCGAGTCGGAAAATTTATCGCACGAATGTGAGATTTTCTTCTCATCTATATTGTCTCTTTTCTTTGGTGAAGTTGACAAAAAGATTAATTCTAGAGAGTATTGTTCATTTTTAAACGTTGGAACAGAGAAGATAATTCATTTTATTTATATTAGGCGACTCTTATTAGTATAGAGCGAGTTGCTTTTATAATATTGTAATAGCTTTAACTTTTCCATATGATGTATCATCTTAAAATGAATAAAAATTGTTTTCCTATAAGTTGTGTGACATTACTGTACTATTGACTGAAGGACAAGTTAAACAGGTAAGTATCGGAGGGTTGATCCCTAACTTTCTTGCAATAAACCTACATTCAATTTGTTTTTTCATAGTCACTACTATCCACACAGCATTTCATTTCGCTCACCTGCTGTAACAGTGGCACAACCCAAAACTACAGGGTCTACCAATAAGAATGATATAAGTTCAAATTGCTAAAAAATAAAAACGAAAAGATACAATTCTATGATTGATGGGTTATTTCCTAGTATATTACGTAACATTACGTTTTGAATAAGATATCATTAAGATGCCCACCTCGGCTGCGGCGGCAGACGTTTAGACGATAAACCCAATTTCCAATGACTGTCCAACAAGTTGGCTGAATTTCGCGAATAACTCGGGTGATGTTAACTTTCAACTCGTCGATGGTTTGAGGATTGTTAGTGTACGCCTTCAACTTCACATATCCCCAAAGAAAAAAGTCCAGGGGAGTAAGATCACAGGACCTTGGTGGCGGTTGATAGGACCATGTTAAATTATTCGATCGCCAACACGCCCTTTTAATAAAAAGGTTGTGTGATTTTGCTCCTTCCTGTTGAAACCACTTCTGTTCGAAGGCTCCACCAACAATTGCAGGCCAAAGAAAGTTTCTTATCATGTCGTGGTAGCGCTCTGCGTTGACTGTCACAGTATGCCCCTCTGCGTCCCCAAAAAAGTCGACCGACATGGAAACCACACCATACAGTCACTTTTATCGGGTATAATGGCCTCTCGACTAATTTCTGGGTATTGTTCCGACACCAGAAGCGATAATTTTGCGTTTTCACAATGCCACTAAGCCAGAAGTGTGCCTCGTCTGAAAAGATGATTTGTTTACGAAAATCGGCATTTTGTTCCAACTGCAACAGGGTCCAGTCGGAAACGTTCTTCGCAAACCATGGTCAGCAGGCTTCTTGGGTTAGAATCATCTCAACACAGATACATATAGACATATTATGTTGTATAGTGTATTTACACCCAACGTAGAATGGATGCGTGATTGCCAAAAGCAAGGACGGCGTACAGGGCCGTATTCGGGGCTACCTCCGAATGACGGACTACCACCAACGTGTTGTAAAACAAAGATGACAATATTTAACAGAAACTGAAAAAATTACTCAAATACACTTAACAACAGCAACAACCAAGCAAGGTGAATACGAAAACACGCGACGGACGGTGGCCTGAGTGCAACTCTGCCTGTCCTGCCCCAGCCCCGCGCATTATTCCGCCAGGCGACCGCTTGAAATTTCAACTTATATAATGATGTTTAAAAAATATTATAATAATATTTAACAAGTTAGTCCAATTTCTCAGCATGATGGGTTTCAAAAAAACACGGGATGCAATAACTCTTGTTACAAGAAGTGCACTGAAACTTTGTCCTCGGTGTTTTGCTTCGTGCTTCTTTTCAACCAAATTCCTACTTAGCTTTGACATAACATGTTACACATCGATTTTTCGCATGCTCTTGAAGCTCGTGTTTTATATTTCTTTGATTTGGTTTATCAGGTTTGTTATTTGCACCCAGAAGTGATAATGCTAATAGCTCCCTGAATTACGTAATTTGAATTTTATTTTGTGTTACTTCTTTATAACATATAAATGCATTGACTAATGTGGAATCAAAAATTAATTCAATTGCTAGTTTTCGGTACCATTTGTTGCCCCTTCTAAGGCAATGTGAATAAGTTTTTCAGCTGATCTGACAGGTCAATATAAGCTCTCGATTTATTGTAATCAACTATAGCTGGCGAATTGACCAATAAGAGGCGTTGTCCCCACCTGTTACCGAGAGATCACGCGCTAACTGTTATTATTTACATCTCATCTTGAATTTGGATTCAGTTTTGAGTTACATACGAGGGATATCTTTTAAGTTTTGCATATGGAAATAAAACAACACGGTAGGTAGTTTTAAATGACTTTATTGTTTTTCGAACTATTCTTCACGAAGATTAATACACATCTGCATCCATCGAGAAACTAATTTTCTTACTCCTAATTCTTCATTTAATTTTTTTTGTATTGAGGTCTTTGAGATCTTCAAGGACGCCTCAATCTCGCGTTATGTCACATGTCTATCTTCAATGATGAGTTTGCGCACAGCATCGACGTTTTCCTGGGTGACTGCCGTTTTTGGTGCACCCACCCTGGGATCGTCGCTAAGACTCACCCGTCCACGTTTGAATTCTCGATACCAACGGGAAATTGTCGAATTATGTGGCGCTTCGTTGCCGAAAACAGACAGTAACTCAGCAAGGCATTCTTGTTGCGATAATTGTCTCTGAAAGTTGTAATAAATTATGGCGCGAAAATGTTCTCAGTTGAGTTCCATTTTTCTAATGACTTGGTGACACAAAAATTCACTGTAGTGAGAACAATGCACGTATTGTTGTGAAACTTTGAATTTAAGTTTAGTAAAGAGTGAGGTTAAGATTCAGTGCTGACGTTCGATCCGCGCGGCCTATGTTTCTATATACAAAACTTCAAAGACATCCCTCGTAGCAATAAAATAAATGAGAAATCAGAAGTAAACTAGAGAATCGGTAAGGCCACGATTTTCCTTAATTAATTAAAATTAATCCTTAATTTTCATAGTTTTCTACTCTTCCGGGTCAGCGCTCTATTATGAGGTTATGTTACAAATCTATGTACATCAAATTGTTCATTTTGATTTATATCATGTTATACCTATAGCCTGAAATTTCCTACAATTCAAGAAGAAAACTTGGCCTGGCAATAGGAGAGCGCTGACGCTGACATGACATAGTAGGAATCTAGAAATATACCAGCCTTTCTGAAGGAGAGGAAATACTATGAAAATCAAGGAGGCCATAAAGGCGTCCTACAATAAAATGTAGGAACGACTGACGATACGGCACTTAAATAATATGAATAATATGATTCCTAACCTATTCAGCTGACTCAATAACAATTCTTTCTGGGATCATATTAAATAAAAATGTAGATAATGGGTCATCCTGTCTAAGTCCTGTATTAATCTCAACTGTTAATTCTCATCTTATTTTGACCATACTTTCTGTTTGTCTTCGTCATTCTTGTGAGGTTTATGAGTTTTCCAGGTATATCAAAATAATTCATTGTAAGAAATACTGTACTCCTTCTGATCGTGTCATAGGCTTTTTGGAAGTCAATAAATTGTATAATTGCTGGTATTTTATATTCGCAGCAGGTGGTTAGAGATTCTTTCATGAAAAAAAATCTGATCAGTTGTCGATCTTATTTTCCAAAAACCACCAGATAATAATGTTTTCTGCAATAATACCGTTATACCCTGCTGAATTATGATCCTTCATGTTTTCGGCTATTGTTTCTATTTCTTCCCTCACTGGCTCATCTATGGTATCTTCTACCTGCTCCATCTTGCTTCAATTTCTTCATTCTGCAGTACTTAAATTGCCATCACTGCCCTTAACCTTTTCGTGATGTACATGTCATATATACTGAGTGACAAAAAAGGTAAACACCTACGTATGTTCATCCAATTTTAATAATTTGTGGCATATATGTTCAGTCCTCCCTTACTAGTATATTTTCAGCTTGAGTCCAAGGCAGAAGCTGCTCATAATGTGTGAGGATCCATTCTTATATATTCATTGACACGCGACCGTCGCATAGGGGTTGAGAGGGCAATCACTACTGCAATTTGCCTTATAAACACCAGTCGAAATGGCCGCGTTGAGCGGACTACAGTTCTTGATACAGTAAGAGCTCCAGAGCGCGAAACAAAAAATTCACCACTGAATGTCTGTCTAGCACATTTCATGGTCTCAAGAGCTGAGCTGCTGTCTTCATTTTTGTTATCAGTACATGTTATCCCTTTAGAAATCCAAGCTCAGAAACAGGTCCCAGATGCTATCTCCCTGGTATTTTGTGCGTGGGGCATCACGGAGTCTGATGCAACCTTTGGATTTTGGTTCATCTCCGTGCAGCGCTTTGCAACATCCATTTGGGAAAGAAAACGTGCTCGCACCTCCATAGAGACCAACATCAGTTTTCAATTAACATCTGGTGCGGCATTGTGGACGAGCATATCATCGGGCCATATCTGCTTCCACCACGTTTGGATGGGCATGCTTATGGTCGATCCTTACAGCATGTGCTACCGGAACTATTACAAAATGTGCCACTGAATATAAGATCCAACATGTGGTTTCAACACCATGGCGGTCCAGCCCACTTTTCTTTACAAGTGCGGCAGTATTTGGACGACAAATTTCCAAATAGGTGGATAGGCCGAGGTGGCCCTGTGCCTTGGCCTGCGCGGTCACTTGACCTGACCCCACTGGATTATTTTATCTGGAGCTATCTGAAAGCTTTAGTGTACGAAACTCCTGTTCCCAACCAACAAGAGCTACTGGGAAGAGTGATGGCCGCGTCCGCACATGTTCAGGACATACCGGGGGTATGCCACAGAGTTCTCCGATCATTGAACAATCGTGCACAGCTGTGTATTGAGCAAGGTGGAGGACACTTTGAGCAATTACTGTAGGTAAGCTGTTTCAAGAAACTGATCTTTTTTTTTGCTGCAGCCCAAACGGCATATTTCCGAACAGGGTTTATAAGGAAAAATTGTTCATTTTGATGCCCTCTACAACCCCTATCATTTTGTCGCAATAATTATGGAACACCCTGTATATACATTTTCAGCTTGATTCGCCAACTGAATGCAGAAGCTGGCTCAATAATGTGTTGAGGATCCACCATTCCTTATACACTCATTGACACGCATGGACATCGTGCGCATAAGGTGGTCGATATCCAGTTGGGTATCTCAATCCAGGCTACTGCAAGTTCGTAAGAGCTGCTAAAGCCTGTGTAGAGTGTTGCCAATTCAAGAGACTGCGATTCATCATGTCCCAGACATGTTATGGAGAACGCGACGTAAGAAACAACATGA